CTAATACTTGCTATTTTTTGATTTAAAGAAATGATACCAATCAACTTCATTCTTTCATATGCCAAAAAATTCTAAACTATTCCTTTAATCATCTAACATACCATAAATTAAACCGGACCCAATCATTTTCATCTTTTACCTATTCGGAAGAAGATTCAATTGACGAATATTTATTTTACTTAATCGAACTGACAATGATTATGTATCTAAAAAGTCTGCTCCTATCAATACCAAAAATAAATCCTTCATACTGTACAGTACTTATCCCTGTTTTTACAGTATGAATATGGAGGCAATTTATTAGATAGCAAATCGCGGCTTTAATTACCAATTGCTCGGTTGTAATCACGATCTCAATGATCCAGTACGAGATCGAATAATGTACTCAAAATAAATTAATTATTTATTTCCAATTTTAAATATGAACTAGTTCACTGAAATGGCTATAATTAAGGTGATAAAAAAAGAAATTTTTAGCATTAAAATGAATCTATTAGAACAGGAAGTTCCCCTTAGAGAGCGTTATATTTTTCCTACGCATATTGTAGTACGAGTACTTTGATGCCTGATAGTTCAAATTTAGTACCTTGTTGGGTGCTATTACTAACTTAATCACTATCATAAAAACCAATGATAGAATACCAATTTTAAATTAACAATATGTAATAATTTACATTGCCATGCTTACCATCCTATTCCAATGTTTTGTATTTGATAATCATTATTGCTTAAAATTCGTAAGTATAAGTAAAAATTCTAACGTCAACGTGTAAAAGTTAACTTGCACATCCCTTTGAACCATGAAACTACAGTATTACTGCCTTGAATGAAAGATTCCCAAGTAGGTTACTATATTTAACTAATTAAATGTCTGTACTGCGCTTACACTAGAAAATCTCTTATTGTAAACCCGCCATAGATACTGCCTGTACTTTTCTATTACTTCATTGTTCCTAGTTAAAGTAAATATTAAAAGTGAAAAGTAAAGTCATAATGCTATCTTGTAGTTATTATTACCTATTTAGCGAACCATGAACGGTTAGGCTTTATCGCGTATAAGACCACCTTTACGAATTTCTAACTTTCTAGAAGATAGCCTAAACGTGCCAAATGTGTTGTCCAGCTGCTATGGATTCTTTGATAAGCGATATCTTTCCAAAAGAATAGTTAGTAAATCAGTGTCAGAAAAAAGAAACACTTAACATTATTTAAAAGAGATTATCATGCAAGTGAAAGTGCTTTGGATAATGAAAAGCTCAACGCACGCAGTTCTATATATCATTATTAATTTAAAACCATATACCGTGCATACAATTAAATGGCAATAAATCGATTAGAAAATAATAGATCGCATAAATGCATATAGATGCAATTTTGATAGTAGATTTTACGTCGATCGTTAGCAACTATGTAATACCGTATGTTATTATTATGACACGATCAAATTTCGAAATTATCCCAAGAGTAGTACACCAAGTGCTAAAAATCTCTATTGGCGATATATACGCAGTACTCTTCTCATTTGCGGACTTGAGAATCCTTATAGAGATCGTAATATATATAGAGAGACTGAAAATCTCATATATCAATATGCACCCAGAGTCATTGTAATAGAAAGAAGAATAATACTATTCTCATTCGAGGACTTGAGAATCCTCATAGAGATCGTAATATATATAGACTAAAAATCTCATATATTAGTCATTGTAATAATAAGAAGAAGAATACAATAATATCAAATAATCATTTTGGATTTCGTTCTGTTATTACCAGTTTTTACGCATATATTGCCAATAGGAGTCCAATATTAGAAGCCTGAGGTTCTTGTACAGCAAACAAATCGCGAGCACAGCCAATTTGATAGCTAGCGAAGCTGTCTGCACTAGCCGTTATGGTCTGTGCCAATTCTGTTATTGTTATGAATTAATAGTACTTTGAAGATTTAGAATTAGATTTTCATTAATTGGAGGGATTTGTTAAGTATTTTCAGACAATGCACACACAAAATTAGAAAGACAAAAACTTCATATTATAATAATTAGAAGGTGTTCATCATAATAATGCTATCGCTATGAATAATAACCTACAAACTTTACAACCAGACAATGCATCTAATTTAGTATTTCCTCCACTTTTAATCTATGATAACCGTAATTATCGTGAACAATTGCAAACTGACCAAGATCAATAAAATTGCAATGAAATTATATTCAAATTTAAATTAGAGCGATGTATCATCCATTCATTTAACTTGTTTATTCCTTTTGAATAATGTATTAGTACCACGTACAGTATAATAGCAACTGTATCAATATAAGTTAGAATTATTAACGTCACGCTACATTTACTAGTACGGTGGCAGTTATAACCTTAGTTTATATCTTGATTTCATATTTATCGTAGACAGTATGAAATTTTCTGCATTAATTGCATCGTAGGTTACCAAGTAGAAAGCAAAAATTGCTATGGCAGCTGCCAATTTTCTGCCATAGTTAGGCCTAATCACGATTCGTGATTCTCAGCGTACGTTATTATTCCTTTCAGGCGAAAATGGCTTAATTAAGATAAATCTCTCTATAATTAATTCTAGATTAATTTACTGTATTAATTAGTGGCTATTAGGCAGTAAACATTTGAGAGTTGGTTCTAACAGTATAGTATTAAAGCTGTCAAATCAGCCATAGAAACACTTGGCAAAATTTTTGTGCGCTGACCTAAAGATTACAACATTAATTATTTTCAATTTATTATATCTGTTGATTTTAAGACAAGATCGATAATTTTTTAATGAGTATTCTTATTGCAGTATTAATGGAATCACTTAGTATTATTGTAGTACTTTTAATTTAAAATCGGACATAGTGGCATGCCGGATTAAAATTCCATGTTTTTTAGCTTCTTACAATGCATCTCATCATTTATACATATATTAATATACTGTAAATAAAGAAATTTCAAAGCAGTTTTTTTACATCGATCACGAAGGATCTGTAGACTTTCTTAGCAAGGATATACAGGAGCACTAATAATACTTTGGGCTATTGCATTTGAAGAAGGGAAAAGTAAATTTTAATTTTCAACAGTCAAATCGAGAAAAATCACTTCAGTGTATTATGTTATTTAATACAAATACCGAAGCCGAATCGACAAATTAATATTATAATTGGTGTTAGTCTATAGTATAAAGTTTCCATTATGATCTACGAAGTTATTGACAGTGAGTAAAATACAGCGCATTTTTCGTGTTGAAGACAAATAAAGATTTAGCTTTTGCGGTTATCGGAGCAGATTCAGAGTCGGATTTCACATGGAGAATTGAAAAATTCCCATTTCCATCTTCGCTTTTCGAATTTATCGAAAAAATGAAGCCTATTTCAAAGTTTTAGTTTAGATATTGAGTGAAATTAATCAGATTATCAACACTAGCTGGGTAGCGAAATAAAAAAAATACCATTCTTCCGTAAGATATTGAAGGTTTAATAGCCATTTTTCTGTGGGCGTAAGTAATTAATAATAAACAATTTTGAATTTATAAATTCTAGACACGAAATAATTTTTTATAAGAGGATGCGAGAATATAATAATTAAAGCGAGTAGCTATAGACGTAAGCCGATCAATTATATTGATAACTTAACCCAGAGGATTATAAAACCTTCCAGCTATTGTGCCCTTTTAAATTGAAACTGCCATAGAAATTATTTAACTACATCGGCTATAGTCGAGGCGCATAATTACTAGTATTTTTCCTTTGGCAGATACTATAATTTCCATTTAGAATAGACGAGGTCACAGGCGTATAGCTTAATAATAATAGTTTATTTTATTTCAGCATCAATAATAGTCAATTCTTACACTAGACTGATTTTGTCAATATTGATAGCACATGTACACAAATGAAAGTTGTACACCTATTTACGAGCTAATATCAAATTAAAAATCTGTGCGTAATAGTTTGCCTATACCCATTTGCTTCATTGCTGAAAACCAATTTGATATAAAACAATACTTTGATTACGCTAAAAGATAGGCCGAACGTATTAGAGAAAATGGGCATTCAGTTGAAAAATTCGTCAACTTAAAAATGATTTTAGATATTTTGATTATGATGTTCACTTATAACGTAGCGATTGTAGGAATTAATTATTGACCAAGTTCATGATGGCCTTCAATAGATAAACCTAAACGTCAAGTAATTTAGAATCAACCTAGTTTTAATTAGTCCTCTTATAATAAAAAAGCTAATACTATGGTGCTATTCTTTAATGAATCTGTCTTTATACTAGATCATATCATAAATACTTACCTACAGTCAAAACCTAATGCTCGTTAAAAACTGACTCGTCCTTGAAATTGATAAACGTAAATTTTTTAGTAGTACTTATATTTCAATGGCATACATCAAATTTTTAAATTTTTGTTATCCGTGAATCTAATGCAGATATTCCCATATACAAATTCACAGATTTTAGAAAACGTATGATCTGATAGTCATATTTATTACAGTAACTTTATTAAACCATTGATTGTAATAAAATTTCCCAGATACGCGGATGCATATCTTCATCAAGTCTAAATGTCAAACATAAGTTTTTATACACATCCTTAATATAATAAATCAACAAATTCTTATGTTCCATAATTTAAAGGTTACATTTAGAAATAAATATCTAATATCGAGCTAGGGTATTAAAAGAATATGCATACAACTATGACCAAGATCTCAGCCACCTAATATATAAAATATGAAACGCTAACTTGATTACTGCTTTTACAGAAAATGCGAATGACATAATGTTAACGCTAGGCGCGAATCAACAAAGCCATCTTAAAGTAGTAACTGAAATAGTACGTAGGTGTAGTATGTACGTATTTTTATAACGATTATAGAACGCATCGATCGCTGGGCACCATTTAATATAACTGCATATTAAACTAATATTTCCGGTATTTTGCTAGTATTGCTTTTACATACATAAAGTAACTAATTTTGACTTCTAAATTACGGTAAAGCCATGGAATCTTCGCCAATATCAGTTAAGTTCATAACTGAGGATTGATTCTGATAATCTTCATCTAGATTTGATACATTGTTCCAGTTACTAACTGGCTTGGCGGTTGGTGCTAATCTAGACAATTGAAGCAGGACTGATTTTCCCTCCTCACACGTCTAAAAAGAACAGTAAAGAACAAGAATTCTACCTTGCAATATCTCGCATAGAATATATCATACAACAGTACTTTATCAATACCTCCGTGAATTCACAGCACTTTTGGGCATGGTATAACGCTGAATCATAGTTTGCCTTTTTTAGGTAGTAATTTGCTAAGTATCGATGGCAAAGATACGTATCTTTTCCTTGAGCCCCCTTTAAATGTAATATACAGCATCACACTTGTAAACTACAGCCTCATACTTGATATTACTCATTAAATTCACGTCACCTATTCGTAACACTTACAGCTACAGAAGAAGTACTAATTTCGATGAAGCGTAAGAAATATACTTCTGCTCCACTTTCGTCTCCTGACTTTTCCATTAATCTACAAATGTGAAACCTTTACAGGTAAGCAACTCTATGGAAAGCTTTATTACCAATTTTATGACTGAATACGCACTAACCTGGCTAACTTTAAGCACGTGTCCCCTACCACTACACCTACAGACAATGCTCTTAAAAAGCACTACCGCATGACATGATGCATCAAGAAGGGAAATATGAGTTGATTAATATTACCATTTTTGCGAATAGATTTATTAAACCCTTCTTTAACATAATTTACCCGCTTTGCATCGTCCAATTTATTAATTGTTATATTAATATCGCCAAGTGCAGTCCACATTCTAGAATCATTTGGTCTTTCGGCCAAAATAAAATGCAAAATGTCCATTAACTTACTTGTCGAATGCTGTACTGTATGTCAGTTAATGACTGATTAGAATATCTGTTGTAGCATTTAAATAATAAATTAATACCCCTTGACTTTACCTTAAAGCTTGAGCTCGCTTATAATAGAATAGACTATAGTAAGGCATCTTTAAAATTTCGTAAGCTTGTCCTAAGCCATACCAGGCCCTGAAGTCATTTCGATTTATTTCTAGCCATTTATCGCACATGAAATATAAATCAATTCCCTACAGATCATAATTTTAACGACTAATTATGCAAGCAAAGCCTATAATTTACCAATCGCTTTTCGGTAAGCTTCTATCGCGGCTGAAGTATTTGCTAATTCCATATATTCATGTCCAATTAATGTCCAGATAAATAAATATCTTGGATTCAGAGTAAGTGCTCGCTGGAAATACCGTAAGGCCTTTTTGTGTTGTCCAATTAAACTGTAATAATTACCTAGATGGCACGAACAAAACAAAAAATCATAATGGGTACGACTACAGTATGCACCAAGAAATTATTTATAACCATTTACATTTTACGAAAGAATACTCGTGATGAAAATGTAATAACTGGTAATTTTAAGTCAGAAAGGTTAATTAGCATGAAAAATAAATCATGAACTGCTCATTTGTAAAAGTACAATCTCCTATTCTAATTATATTTTTATCAACTCCGGAACGCTACCAAATCTAGAAATATCACAACTCCCCCTACGATATAAATCAACCATCAAATATAGAACAGATAAAAGTGCAATGGGAAAATGATCAACTGTACGTAAAGTAATCAGTAGCAACAACACTTTAAACAAAACATGGACATTCCTGATACTGTGGCATTTTACATGGAATCACATTAATCTAAACACAAATAATTTATATATCTAAAGAGCGTGTAAGCCGTTTTAATTATAATAGGAAATGGCCGATGCGCTACTGTTGACTATTTAAAATAAAAGTTCAGATCAGAAAACTTTAAGATTTTAAAATTAATATGAAGGGCAATTATCATAGTTTAGAATTTCTAATGTAAAATGTTTCTACCGGAAATTAACGATGAATAATATAAACTCATCTCATTTACCTACAACATAGCAGCTAATTACAGAAAATTTGTCGATTGACGAAACATGATGAGCTAAGTCAGATAGTTCAATCTTCTTTTCCTGGATACCAAAAAAAATACAGTAAACACATCTTCTCGGATGATTTTATACTTCAAGACTACTACAATTAGAAAATTTAGGTTTATCAAATATAACCTACTTTGACGTATAATATATTAGAGTAAATGTCCATATTTTCCAAGCGGAGAGGATATGCCTTATGAAGCTCTTCGAAATAATCTTCGGCATTGTCATAATCTTTAAGCGAGAAATGTATCCAACGATCAATTAATTATTCGTAATAAAGATAGTGCATTTAATACCTACGAAAAACGTTGTAACTGATAGTAAAATTATTTATTATGATGTCTAATAAAGGTATGCCAATCTGCTATATGGCATGGAAAGCGGGTTAATTTCCTTTTAATGATTTAGCAAGTCACTGCATGTTAATTTTATAAGGTGATCTTACGGATGCAAAGAAGTGAACTAACCTCTAACATTATAGTAACTAAATGCAATAAGGGACTTCACATGTAAACTTGATTGAAAACCAAGGTCTTTCAAGGATTGACAATAAACCAGTGCCTCTTCAGCGCAATGCAGCTCATTATGAACACTTGCTAAAAAGAAAGTCTTAATCCAATGATCTGGTAAGGATAATGACATTACCTGTAGAATGTTGTACAATTTTGCTCATTAGAAGGACTTTGATCAAATTGACTTTACCATATACCTTCCTAGTATATTTCTGCTAATGGAGAATATCATATGCATGCTCCGTTGTCTCAATTTATATCGCCTACCATTTCTACATCGGAGCATAAAGGTATTAATTCTTCCCAAGCACACCATAATAAAGGGCGTTTATTGATGGCATCAACTAAAATCTTAATTGCTTCTTCTTTGAAATCCAATTCTTTTAGAACAACGCCGTATCTATACCAATGCATGAAAATATAACATGAATGATCAATCATTGTCTGCCTTGATCAGAAAATTTATTATTCAATCAAGATTTATTTACTACATTTCTTTGAAGGTAAAAATATTAAACTCACAAATATAGACAGTATCCATCCAATGAGGGTAAATTCTCTTTCAGTTCTTTTTCTAATTTATACAACTCTTGATTGCAAACCTTGTCTACCGCTAATTAATTAGTAGTAAGTTACTTTTTAATAATAATATTAATAGCTTATAATTATTAAATAGTTGATATTTGACCAGGTATGTATATAAGTTAAATAACGCTGGGAAAATGCAGTGTTTTCGGCCCTTACATGTAAATCCAACTTGGTCATCACGTTGCTTTTTCTGCCCAGACTACAAAGCGTATGGATAATATTACAAACATTAGCTGCCACTATTTCATTCTAATCAGTGAGCATTTCAACTTTTGAAATGTTTAGCACATATCAGAAGTATTGAACCTTAGGAAAATCTCATTACTACATACATAAACTACTCAAATCGTTCACCTTTTCATCAACTTACCATATACCATGAATACAATCTCAGAAAATACAACTTTTGGCTTTTACAGTTAGATGAAACCTTATATGCACGTTGATACTCTTTACAGTCGAAATAAGATTTTGTCAGCACATAAAGGTCATATTCAGTTTCAAAGTTATCATCTTCCGTCAAAACAGTTGACGATAATTTATCAGCCTCTGAGCTGGACAAATGACTGCCAAGTTCTGCCAACCTGTTAAATGTAATATCCATTTACATTAGTAAGTGGATCGACGGCCTATAGTGCTGTTTGATTCATTATAGTTCTATTGATTACAATGTACACTATGCGACATCACCTTACCATTTGCATGCATGGATCAAACCTCTATTGGAACATTCTCGTGCTTCCCACAGAATTTCTTGCTTCATTGATGAATCGTGAGGCATCACTCTGAAACATGACGAAGTAATAAAAGAAAGCACGTATCAGCCTGGATATTTTTGCAGCTTCAAGGTATAGGTAGTCAAAATTATCGTATGTAACTTTGCCAAATGGTATTCACTTGGCTATACGTGTTACGTGAATGAAATAAGTGAGAAAGTGATTGAAGCTTTAGCTCTTGTCCATAATGATACCAGAGAGAATTTAGCGGTATACCAAAGTATCCATTTCAAGGCAAACTGACACATTTCTGAATAGCAGATTATTATTTTGTAAATTACTTATGGAAAAAGATCGATTCTATATACTGTCCAATAAATGATGAAAACCTCCAGCAAGAAGATACTCGTCCAACTGCACGAGCCATTGCACCCTAGTATAATACAGTACTATTTGTCGAAGAAAAGGATTATCAAATCTTGCAACGGAGACATTGTATAATTACCGTAGTGATTGTAGGCTAGTTTGAATGTAACAAGTCAACGTTGAGAACGCTAGCAAAGGCGATTGGCACTTGCCATGAAATAGGAAATTCCTCTTAGCTTTAATTAAAGGACAGCAATGGTGATGTTATCCTAATCTTATTAAATTGATGGAAGATTTTTTGTATTTACCGCCAGTCGTCCAGAGTGGTGTACAGTACTGTACACTGTACTGTAAAGTAGAGTACTGTACAGTACTGTACACTGTACTGTAGTGCAGTGATACTGTAGCTTACAGTACATGTACTGTACTGTACACTATACACTGTAAAGTACGTACTGTAGCCTTGAACTAAAAATTCCAAGACAGTATTCCTTCCTTCCTTCTGAAACTGCGGTATGACGTTCTAGAAGTTGAAGTGTCGGTGGTTTCTCCTTTCTGCACGTGATACATTAATGACAGCCAGTTAATTAACCGTTAATTAATTCATTAATTAAACGACGATGCTAAACAGTACTATGGTGCATGACGGTATACTAGACGTACAGTACAGTAACAAATCAATAAAAAATGTCAATACATGGGGGTAGGATAAAACCATGGATAAACAGTACAAGTACACTAACTGCAGTCAATATTACGTTATGAACACGAAGTCAAGTAAATAATCTGTCATCATCAATGTCTTAGCAATAAAATTGACGACTAAAATTGATGAACATGAGGCAAGAGCCTGTTAGGACTCTCCTGTACATTGTACACTACGACTGTATTGCGTAGCAGTTTCCAGAGAATACAGTACAGTCCTATCTTTCATCTCGACCTAGTTCGTATTTGTGCTGCTGCGCGTCTTTTCATGTCATAACTTAGTACCACGGATAGCAAGTGCCACGTACTGCATGGCACGCTGATTCTGATTTGTCCTGCCAAAAATTGACAGTACAGTACATTGTACTGGTAGTGTCCTGTACTACGGTGCTGAGTAGAGTTGGTACTGCACTGCTTTACTACAGTACTGGGCTTGACGGCAAAACAGATTCAGTACAGTACAGTACAGTCTACATACTGTAGTAGGTCAGTGACTTGTGTAGTCAGTATAAGTACTAGGCCTTATTGGAAGATTGGTTACTACATGAACGTCATCGTTTCGACGAATTTGGCTGTTATTTTGCTTGAGAAATTCTGTAAGGAAAAAAAGTAGGAAGAAAGTAAGTTATAAAAAGCATTGGAAGATTATTTTCATAGAGAAATACTTCGTATAAGGAAGCCTTAGAATGATCCGCTGCAGTAGTACATACTGTACAGTAAACGCATTATTGATGCTATCATACGCGTGTAGGATTCATCTTCTCTTGCTCAACATGGCCTGTACAAAAGCTGATATGACTTGGAAAATTGATTATCCAATGTTTTGTTCTCTATCTTCACTCTTTGAATCCTGATTTACTGCTTCCATTTTATTTCTTATTAATTTATTGAAACCGCGTCGCGATGATTATATGTTGTTATTTTTGATATATCATTCGATAGGCTTCCCTTTTCCTATTTTAGTAATGTAATCGATCACTTGTAGATGGAAAATCGAATTAATAAAAAACAATCTGTTTGGCGAGACACACATACGCGTACAACAGGCATCACAAAGGACATTGAATTTTGTGAACTGAATTCGATGCTTACACTCACTAGCTCGTCGTTGTGTATCTGTTTCGTATCTACTTTTTGCTATACAGTCAACATTTTCATTATGGCCTTTGTAGAATTTAGTAGAGATTCTTGACAGTTTTTTATGCTAAGAATGCCAATATACGCCTACGGTTTGAGTGAGTGATATTTATAGTTTGGATTCAGGTGTACAGTAGAACCGTATACAGTATCTATATTTAATAGTACTGTACAGTCAGGAACATCTAAGAAAAGAAATGGTAACAACAGAGTATGGTGTAGTTATTGTCGTTTCAGATACTTAAAAAGGAAAAAAGCTATTAAGTGCTTTGATTTTAACAACATATGATATCAACAGCATATCGTAATGGTACAATTCCTAGTTTATTCTCTAATCTTATCTATCGCATTCAATTATATTATTATTAATCATGATTATAGATGAAGGCCCTTCTGGTTGTCTGCTTGGTCTTTGCGATCATCTTTTCGGTAAATGCTGATGGTGAACAGGTTGTCAATTTGGATGAACCCCTGAACGGTGGAAGTTTGATCGGCCCCAACGAAGTTGATCCCGAATGGATAAGGAACGAAGTCAATGAAAAGTACGAAATGGCACGCAGACTGAGAGAAGAAATTAGTGGCCGTATGAACTAAGTCGACTGTGTTGCATGAATCATTATTGTCGAAATACTTCATACTGTATTACCACCTTCCGTGTGTCATAATTTAAATTTACTAAGAGTCGTGCATATTCGATTTTTTAAAGTCTACGTCCACCTAATGTAGTCACTAATATTGCTTAGAAGAAAATGCATTTAGACTGCAAATATGCACTAGCCAAACAAATTTTATTGTTGAATTAATAAATAGTAAGCATACTTTTTTTGAGAAATTATTTTTAGCACGAATTTGCAATAGATCATCTGTATTATTAGTATATGCAGTACCGTGTAGTGCTGTACGTGCCTTCCATGATATCGTACACCACTACTTAAGCTGTTGTTAAAAGTGAAATAAAAGGAACGACCGTAATTGACACCAAAAATTATTTTACGTTTACGTGTACTGTATATGTTTTAGAGCCCCACTAAGCTGCCATGGAAGTGCATATTAGGCTATGTGTACGGTAAGCAGAGTTAATGCACTTATGCAAGCTTTGAAAATTTTATATTCGGTGGAGATGCCGTCAAAATTAGAAATGCCCTCCTGATAACGGCAATGTTCTGTAATCTTACTATACTCTATTAGAAATTCCCGTTTAGTAATCTAATATGATTAATAGCGAAGCTAGAACAGATTTTCTTACGGTCTCTTACTTGTCAGTGGATAGTGTCTACCTTGTTAGTTTATTCGATATTATCAATAATGTTACGCAACAGAGATCATAACTTGCTTTTAAGAAAATGTATTACTCGCCTCAAATGTTGAGCTGACTATCGTTATACGCGTACATGCAATGAACACGGTACGGTGACACCCATTCATACCTTCATGGAAACATTGATTTTATGATACATAAAATGCCTGTATGGTCTGGCGTTTCTAGTAAGATTGTATGGATAGATATTACCCATAATCCTTATACAATGTAGACTACAGTTCTCAATCATAGCGTCCAGATCTAGTGAAATGTTATTTATTAGTAAAATATTAATGCTAACATTATTGCAATATTCTTGATCATGACTATGATCAAAGACGCGATTTTTAAAATTAAACTTTACTATACACGATTTAATTTAATTTTTAGCAAAATTCTAAATCTAAAATTTATAACAATCTAAAGCTATCTGTCTTGCACTAGCGACAGTTAAGTGCAACAGTCCAACAGCTAGTATTTTTGTTGCTCTAGTCTCGGCTGATCTTTCGCTTCAATTTCTACATGAATTCGTAATACATACTTAAAATTATCAATAAAACACAAACTGAAGGTGAAATCAATTCGTGCCTTTACCGTACATAGCAATTCAGAATCTAGGATTACCGGAAAGTGTATATGCAAAAGCGAGAATCTGCTAACTTGGAATAATTTTGATTTTGCATAACAATGAGATATGATGATTAGAGCAATCATGAGTAAATCATGACGTATGAGTATACTGTAATCAATACAGATTAATGAACCAATCACGATAAGTAGCAATTATTTATGTGACTATTTTCTCCACGCCTTGAACCCATTTACTGCTATAATTTATGTGAATCAAGGGAAGCATGACTTTTTGAATACTATCCACTGTTCAATTCACATTTAAGTATATTTACAGGCAAGGGTATGGGTGATTTACGTCGAATCACTAGAATACTTATTTCTCTTTTATGTAACTGATTATTAAGCTTTAATTTATGAGTCGTGATGAAATTTGTTCCTGTGGACTAATATCAAATACAATCAATAATATTGTGGACTGCCAATTATTTTCTTGCAAAGTTATCTTCACCTACAGTAAAAGGCGACGTGAATTGCATTGCAATTGAGAATGTAAGATACAGTTAACATAATCAATGATTAGTAAATTAAATTGTAATTGGAACCTGATACGGAAACGCACATTGTTCTTTGATATGCTCACTCAGTGACTGTCTGATACCGTATAAGTAGTTTTGTCTATTTAAACTGATTTTATCTCATGTTACTAAACCTGCTCAATAAATACTATATAGTATTGTTTCAATTTATCCACAATAATTAGACATTATACTCTGTTACCCCCTCCCCTATATTACAGAAGTTATTTTGACTAAGACTTTGAGTAGGAATATTACCGTTATTTAACAAATATACGAGTAAATAGCCTTAAATGATTGAATCATACTAATAAACGTAAATCGTAACTTACTGAAGCCTTCCTCGAAAATTTATCATTGTAATAAATTAATGTCCAAATCCAATAAGTTCGTTTAATGCGTCTAGGATTAAGTCAGAAATGTCACTCTAAAACCTAAATATTTTTTATTACAGCTCCTTTCGCTATATCTACACAAAATTGGAACCATTGCTGAAAGATAATGCTTAAAGAAAACTATTACTCAGCAGTTCTTTCAGTTCTTATGGTCGGATTGCATCTTTGCCTTATTCAATGCCAAGATCATCATTTTCATGTATTAACTGATCATTATAAAGATGAGTTACATAGCAAAGAATTTGACCATCAGGTGTTCCTAGGTGTTGAAGAAGCACAAAACTTTGATAAATTGACCTCTGAAAACTCTAAGGAACGTCTAAAAGTGCTTATACCCGAGATTGATAGTAACAATGATAATTTGATTGATATATTAGAGCTGACAAACTGGATAAGAACGCGTCAAGATAAAGTAATAGCAAGAGGTGCGGAAGCTTCTTTTCAGTTATATGACAAAAACAAGGACAACAAGGTTTCATGGGATGAAATAAGGTCGGCAAAGTATGGGATAAGTGATAATTCTGAGACTGCTGGTATTTTAGTTGTATCGCAAAATGTTGACCTTAAAGAAATGAAATATGATAAAGAAAAATATAACCATGCAGACACTGATGGTGACTTGAAATTAAGCCTTCATGAATTTAAGATCTGGTTGCATCCTGAAAGTGATCCAAGAATGGCAGAGTTTTTACATCAGGAAGCTTTGCACAAGTCTGATAGGAATAAAGACAATCTGTTAGAATTCAAGGAATATTTGGGAAGTAATCACGACAACATACAAGAAATTGAGCATACCCACGATTGGTTAAAGGAAGAAAAGCAAAAATTTGATTCATATGACAAAAATAATGATGGGATGTTGGATTTAGAAGAAGTTAGGTTATACTATGTTCCAGTACAATTTCTCAATCAGTTACGCAATGAAGCAAGACACCTGATCAATAAAGCAGATAAGAATCAAGATCAAAAACTATCTGTAGAAGAGATACTGGATAATTCTGATATATTTGTGGGTAGTTTACCGACTACTAAGCATTCTAGTGATGAATTATAACTATATATTTCTAGTAATTATTTCATTTAGGACTGTTATATATCAACTTGTAATCTGCATGTACTTCCTTGTCTGAAATTATCATCATAACCAGCTGTATTAAGTATAATCATTAGATTGTGTATATTGGTAATATGTAGCAGTAAGCAATCTATTTGGACTATTCGAATACATAAGTAAGATATTCACGGATATAATCTCTGTACACGGTCGATTTCATCCGTAAGTATAGATATGCTCATATACAGTAAAGACAAGGTAAAATTGTTATCAACATTTTGTTATGTATAATATCAGAATACTATTATCAATAAATAGAAATGTCATATATTGTATAATATTTAAAAAGCATCATACAAGTGTCATAATTATTACTTATCTAAATTTTGGATACAATAAATGTAGTACGGTACTATAATAATACCAATAGTTATAATATTGCTAGATTTCTTATGTCTTTCGTGCCTAATGGTAAAAGTAGCCGGAGCGATAAAATCGGTGGAGTTTAAAAGAATGCCTTTAATTAATGTAAAATATCGGATATTGTTTCGGTCTTGCAGAAATCAATCTTTTTGATGACAGCTATTATAAAATACCATATCAAGGCAAAAATTATATTTATGTATTTTCCGCTTCCTGAAGTATACTAGTTGATTAAGAACTACGTGAATGTTATATTCATGATCTACGACGTTGTATCATTGCAGACTGGATAAACCTATATTATTTGTAGCTGCACACCGCATAGATACGTAACGGATCGACCACGAATCTCTGTTTACTATCACATGATTTTTCATCATAAATTAACAGTACTATTCCAAGAAAACCGATCATTTTCTGAAATATACTTTCCACACGCGCTACCGTAATATCTTTCATGTTGCCACGAATAGGGTTCGTATCTTTATATGGTCAACGTGGTCTTTGGCAGTTTGTGCTTCATTTGTTTTACTAATGCAACTACACGTAGCATAGTGATTTAAACTACTCCATCATTAACCTCTGTCACTTTACTTGCCATTATCTACTACAATTATATGCAGCCGTGCGCTAGATTACGTTGTCAGTTGTCAGGATTACCATTTTTTTCTCTTATAAGATTGGGCATTATATATCACTGAGATACAATCTCGAGGATTAAGTTTCCTACAAAAACTTGCAGTTAAATTCCGAGACTTTAAATTTAATAGCAAGTTCTTGTAGCAAACTTGACCCTCAAAATTGTATCTCAGTGGATTATTTATTTTACTCGATATCAATATACGTAATATAGTGATATAAACCGACTTATCATTAACCGCTATCCCCTTACTTGCCGTTATCTACTATAATTACATAAAGACGTGCACAAGAATACGCTGTCTGTTGTTAGGATCACCATTTTTTTGCACTTGTTAGAAAATCTATGCGTTGAAAGATAATGTAGCATAATTTGGATGGTAATGCAAACGTACGTGCTAAAGCTCTAATGTAGTCTAGCTGATCATTTCTTTTAATTTATTGCTTTCTGTTCATTTGAACGGGTAATCTACTAGTATTAATAATGTATCAATGATTACATACATTTATATGCACAATACTTACTAATAATAATATCAGTTGTACGTTAGATGAGAAATCTATACAATCAATGTAGATAATTCGATTACGATTTTACTCTCCATAGGAGTATTTTAAAAATAGTTAAATAAATACTATATATAGTGACTTTACTGGTCTGAACAGCAATGCACGTAACAATCTAAATCCGGGGATTTATACTATATTAATCTATTTGTTTATTTTGCGGCGTATAGTAGATGATTGATCTGTTAGTAGTTATTACATATTCATCTATAATTATGTTAATACTGTAGTGCATACTACAGTGCGTTGACTGCCAAGTGGTTAACAGTTGCAGTACCACATGAATAGTCTGCACTGATTTTTTGGCTACTCCATTTATACTGCAATAAGTTACGAGTGTGCAATTATGGTGCAGTATATCTCCATTCATTACACAGGCATACTCGAACGACATTCAATAATTTGTTTACTAGGCATTGACCTTTTTCTAACGTGCTTAACTGTAGCAGTCACTTACAGATTGGGAAGTGAAACTCTGTAAATATAAAGCATAATATTTTACCTTTTACAATGGAGGTCTGCACTATACACAGTACACCATTGCAGGGCTAATCCTACCTCATGGTAAATATCAAGCATACAGTACAGAGAGGTTAGTGAGGTTTTGCAGAGACTACAAGACTGTAAAATAGCTTGAAGTGAACTAAAACGACGTGGCAAATGATCCGTTTGGATAATATACAGTAACGAATAGGATATCATTTCCATATTGCGCAAAATGAAACAAAAAATAAGTCATCGATTGTGCAATTGCTTAGTAGCAGGGGTGACATCATTTCGTTCTGGCATTCATGACTATGGCAATTGACCATTTTTCCACCATAAAGATGCCGCCTACTCTACTGTATACAGTACTGTAGGTCGCAGTGCGTGGCGCGTATTTCAGTCCATCAAAAACAAAATGGCCGAATTTAGAATACGTGTTGGACGTTGCGTCAATGCGTCTTGCGCGAGTACTAAAAGTGCGTCAATTGACAAAATTGTTCAATATGATCAGTGTGCAATCGTTAACATCTCCTTTGAGAGTTGGGTAAGCAATGATTCCAACAAGCTTTGTTCTACCCGTATGGTCTACAGTAAATTGGGTAGTTGCGTACAGTACTCAGTACTGTACGCAATGCACTGTAGTGACTGTAGCATGGAGTACAGTACAGTACAGTAGCCAACCTACAGTACCATGGTCCTGTAGAAGTACCATTGTCCTGTCGTGCTGTAGCACACTTTCAGAATCTACAGTAGCCAATCTACAGTACCATGGTCCTGTCGTACTGTACAGTAGGACACTTACAGAGTACACTAGCCAATCTACAGTACTATGGTCCTGTCGTACTGTAGCACACTTTCAGAGTCTACAGTAGCCAATCTACAGTACCATGGTACTGTCGCACTGTAGCACACTTGCAGAGTCTACAGTACAAGGGTGTAGAAATTCAATCTAGATTTTAAAAAAACAGATAATATGATCAAAACTTGTACAGTACAGTACTGTACAGTGTACAGTAGCCAATCTACCAAACCTTCGACAGGTGTAGCTGTAGCACACTTGCAGAGTGTACTGTACAGTGTACAGTACAGTACTCGTCTACAGTACAAAGAAAACCTCCAATAAGCCGTACTGTACACTGTACACTGTATGGTTAGTGGTGCCCGTATGAGAAAGCGCTGACGTACAGTACTGTACTGTACGGATAGTACTCCACCGTGGCCGTACTGTACACTGTACAGTATTGCACTGTCGTGACACACTACTCCAGCTGGACCCTAGCTGGCAAACCAATTGGAAAGTGTTGACCAACATCCTTTCACCACTCGGACAGAACAAATCCCATTCAGACGCTCTTTTTCTAACAAAGTCCACGCAACATCAAGGCCCAAGAGGAGAAAAAGCGCTATGTCTTCGTCACCAACTGGCAATATACGTGACGGAATGAGCGCATTAGGATTAAATTTAAAACAAGAGAATGAACCCAAGAAGAATTACAATCATTTACTAGGCCATAACTTAAATCAATCAAAACCGACGTTAAATTTATCAACTAATTTCAAACCTAAAAGGAGACCAGGTGCTGTAATCAAAACACAACATCCAGTTGCACATCGTATTCTGTCTTGTCGACCTTTGTCATAGGGTCGTATTCTCTTCACTTAACGTAATACTACTTGTATGTCTACTAATTGCCTGAACGCGTTCGTTATCCAATTTGAGTAATATTGAATTGAATGTAGGATAGGCAGTTGCAATTGGTATCATTTTACAATATTGCCATTTCCAAATAGCGTTATAGAATGGAATCCGTGTCGCCTATAGCCAGTGATCATAGCATAAAGCACATTATGCGGTGTAGAAAAATCATGATGCATACGGTCCTCTATAAATCAATCATTTAATGCGTCATCCTTGAATCATTCTACTGATGCAATGAACTGTATTGAGCAACTAGTTCACAATAATTTTATTTTACTATTCCTTGGAAACGGTACAACATCTATCTCATCATCATATTTTTATGAAGTAGAAAAAATTTCTCTTATATCCTACATCTGACCTCCAGCATACGATTATAACGATACATGTCTATCCAACGGTATAGAACCAACAGCAGTATTTGTCAAGCAAACTACTCAATACCGATTGCATATTTATAGAACATGTCACCACAGTCAAGAGTAGTAATACCCACAGATTGGATTCTCCGATTATATAATTATTAATCTTATTATTGATACTTTACATGTAAATAGAGTAGTACTGTTTGTAACAGCATTCGTAATATAAAAACAATAGAGTAGACAACATTTTAATCGCTTCATCTACGTGTTGTCGTTCTATTGTCATTGAATTTTGGGGCAACTTTACTAAACTGGATAACGTTCATTTGATGGATATTTAGTTCGTAGAGAAGTAGCTCGTCGTACTGGTGCATCTGAAAATGAACAGTAAGTACAATATTGTTGAATCGTATCATAATTACATAATCGTCATATCTTGAATAAAAACATCGTAACTAAAAATAGGTACGACTCGATAGGTTAGATTAATATGTACAGTATATATATAAAAATAGGTGCGACTCGATAGGTTAGATTAATGTGTATGTATATATAGACAGTGTGATAGCTTTAAAATCATCTCATAGAGATAGACACGAAGCAATACTGCACATGTTAACTTATGGATACCATCAATTTGGAGACGATATTTAGTGATTATGTAAAGCGACACGATTACAGTAGCAGTACCATTTCATTGCAGCCTAATTGAATGAATAAACTGCAATTCCAAACCGTACTCAAATTAGTTGCACTTTCCAGTATGCCTCATATGGTATTTGTGCTAATATAGTACTATACTGTACACGCCAAGAATTATTATCAAGGTAGATCGCGATGGTGTTTATAAAAGTGAGTTCACCCCTAGGCTAAACAACGTTAGAAGCCTTGACATTGACCTTGGCCAGTTTAGAGACTGAAAAACATTCTTTGGAACGGCCGTAATAACGACATGCATAGTAATTAGTGACACTCGTGTCTTATTTTCATCTGATATCGTTATCAATAGATTGGATCAGCAGCTAGAAGAGATTAAGAAGGAAACTGGTTTACTAACTATTGATGGAAAGGTAATCTGCGGTGGTTTTTACTCGATGTTACCGCATGAGGCAAAAACGAACTGTAATAAATATCATAACCGACTATTCTCATTCTACTGCTTCGGTCTTGAATGACATGATGATTAATCTCTTGATCGAAAATGTGTAAAATTCTAGAAATATAAAATAGGCCTTGACGATCTTCAAGTTATGGGTCAAATTGGCAGTGGAACTTGCGGGACTGTCTATGCCATGGAACATGCAGCAACTAGATCTGTAATAGCAGTTAAGGTTAGCAATCTGCTATCTCGTACAAAGTCGATTGGCTAATTCAACTAATAGATTGATCTCTATATTTAAAATAAATGCCAAAGGAAAAATTATTTCTCTCGTTATATGGACGACAGAGAAAAAAATTTCAAGTTATTGATTATTTGTCATCTTCATATAGAAAATTCCTCGAATTCAAAATGAAGAAGAGAAAAAACGAGTATTAATGGATTTACAAGTAGTTATGAAGAGTCATGATTGTCCATACATAGTTAAATGCTTCGGCTTACTGATTGCAGAGGTACGACAGTGTGCCAAGATGTGTTTATAAACTAGTGTAGTTATAGGAACTTGCAACAGCGAGCAAGTAGTTTAGAACGATCTTTATAAGTGTGTCCTATCAAATAGTTTATGAATTATTTGATAATCATAATTGATGTTGATTAACTGCGGTAATTCTATGTAATAGATATCGTGTTACTAACTTAAATGTAACAATTAAATTACCCTACAAGTTGGCTTTCTAATATATTGATAATACACCTTCCTTTGCTAGTCTGATATTTTGATCTGCATGGAGAAAATGAGTACATGTTTATGCAAACTGCTAACTAGAACCGGTCAGCCTATTCCTGAAGATATCTTAGGAAAGATCACAGTCGCGGTGAGTATTAGAGTCCGGTAATTTTAGAAATTGAGCAATATCACAGGACAAGTAATCTATCAGACCAATCCATGTATATTGCTTGAACCAAAAATTTAGGTTGTCAAGGCACTACACTACCTGAAACAAAATCATGGAGTAATTCATCGAGGTATTTATAACCAATGCTAAATATTTGCTTTACCCTTTTATTAACTCAATTTTTGAATTTCGTAACTACGTTACGGAAACGTTTTAAAATGAGGTACCCACTAATTTAAAATTTTAAATTCAATCTTTCATTCATTTGGTTACATTGAAGATGTCAAGCCATCAAATATTCTATTAGATGCTGATGGTAATGTTAAATTGTGCGATTTTGGTATTAGTGGGCGTTTAGTTGATTCTAAAGCTCGTACACGTGGCAAAGGATGTGCAGCATACATGTCGGTATGTAAAGCGTTACATCAATCTCAGTACTTATCAATGACATGGAAATTATTATTTGCTTGTAGACAATTTTTTATTTATTATGAATACAACCAGTATTGTGTTTGATTATAATTAACCAGTTGCGTGCGTAAATCTGTTTTACTTTGTCGATAAGCCTGAAAGAATTGATCCGTCAAATCCTACTGGAACATATGATATTCGCGCAGACGTTTGGAGTTTAGGAATTTCTCTGGTATGTAAACCCTATAGTAGTAAACTTTGACATTGGCTTAGTTGAGAACGCAATTATATCATACTATTAATTTTTCATACAAATAGGTTGAACTGGCGACCGGAAAATTTCCTTACGATGAATGTGAAGGAGAATTTCAAGTGTTGACGAGAATATTGCAAGATGATCCACCTAAACTACCAAGCAATGGTCAATTTTCACAAGAATTTTGCTCATTTGTAGAGAAATGGTTAGTTTAACAGCAGTGTTTAGAAACAACTCGAATAGGAGTGTAGGCATTAGCTGACTTAGCAACCATAATAATTACTGTTTATTACCTTAAATATACTAGTGCATCTTTCGTATCTATATGGCGATTTTTAATGGCTACCATCTGTTTCTGATAACCATGGCTAATTAATATTTATGCTATTTACAGTTTAATAAAAGATCACGATCGCAGGCCGAAATATGCCGAATTACTAGTTAGTAAAAGTTAAATACTACGTAACATTTATTGTTGACATTATTTCCTTGTATACTTTAAACCAACTTATGAAAAGGCTTTATTATTAAAGACATTATTCGTAACGATTTTTTTTTATCACATAAATGTACTGACTATGTACACATTGTTACATGTTTAAATTTCAGCAACATAAATTCATCCAAATTTACGAAACGAAAGATGTTGATGTTGCATCTTGGTTTAACCAACTGATTGAAGAGACATCTGGAGACTGTGGTGTTAACCTATTCGATGTATAATAAACAATGCCGTGAAATACTCGTGTCCATGTAAGAAACAAATATACAAAACGTCTAATCTACAGCTTTGCTGGTATTCTACTGATTGATTACTATCAGGTTCAATTAACTTAACAATTATATGCAATAACTTGGAAATGAAGTCCTTTCCCTCATTAAATTCTTCTCATTCATGGAAAAATATTCTATTTTGCTGTACTACTGCAATGATCAGTGTCTGTTTTTCTCACCATTGTCGACAACTATTAACCATGATTTTAATTAAAAGTATTATTATTTGCTGCTAATTTTAACGTATCAACACTTCGGAAAATATCATTGTAATATGCCTTTCAAGTTGATATTCTATTTTAAAAAGTGCAAACTTCTTACAAGAAATGTCTTTTAACAATCCTATTGTTCATATCGGTTCTAAATGGTGACATTTTTAAATGTTTTAATATCTAAATAAATGACATAATAAAGGAAAATTACGGCTAAATGTTGACATACAACTAGCAATGCTGGTTAGCTAATGTCATTTCTAATCTTGCAAATCTCTTTTCTCCTATCGTAATCTATGACTATCTATCTATATTGTATATGTACAGAAAAATAAAAAGAATTATGTACCGATGATAAAAGGAAGTCTTTCCTTGTCTAGCACTATCGCAAAATTAACTTTCACTACATTTAGTTGAGTAAAATATACTAGACACAGTCCTCGAGATGGTGTAGATGTACGTGAAGCAGGGACATTATAGGCATTAAATTACGGCAATAGATTATTGCTACAGGATTTTTTCTCTCTTGAAAGGAGAGAGGAAGAAACGAACTAATGATGTCAATAGTTTCCTTATTTCTTTATTTTAATTAAATATATATCAACTGTAAATTTAATACCATATCTGAAATCATGGAACTATCGTTGATGATGGCCCTATTATTATATGTAATTCATTGCCTAATTCATCGCAATTAACAGAAGCAATGAGTTGAATTACTTCATGAGCTTCCGTGATCAATTTCACATTAACATAGAACAGATGATAAATATGACTTTAGAAGATTTGCTTTTTATTGTAATATGGATGAGGATTTCTGCTATTTTTATTTTAACATTCGCTTCATTAAAATAAAATATATCATGTAATTCCTAATAATGTAATCGTTCAATAATCCATCAATATCGCTATATAAAATATTTTCATGCCACACTTTCATTTTATTATAGAATAGTTTGACCTCAAATAGAATTGCTAAATGCCATGATAGTTTTTAGATTAGTATCTGCAAGCATAATTCTCTACGATATTAAAGAATGATCGATTGTTCCACTCGCATTATGGTTTTTGCACTGGCCACCTGGTAATACAATATAAAGCATGTACAGCGTATAGTATTCAAAAACTTTATACTGAGTTGATATGCCAGTTAATGATGTCAGAATTTTTAATTACATTTCTAAAAGACTTTTCATGTCTTAAGTCTCTCATCAATACCGGAAAGATTGAACTGAACAAATAATAACAGTGCTAAGTTATCTCTAATAAGGTTAATAAGGTGTGTTATACAAGACGTTAACCAAATTTACAATTTTAAAGGCAGATTCATACTAATTAATTATTTATCATACTCTACGTTGCTCACTTTCGATAGCTAGAGGTGAAAAATTTGAAAATAATCGGCTATCATATATCCTTACGAGCTCATAAATTTATTGCAGTTTAGGACTCGTAGAATTCAGTTTCTCAATTAAGGAATGTATTGAGTACCGGTATATTCTTCCATATTAGTTTAACCAAACCAAATATCAGGATCGCTACTATCTTCTTTTTTTGTTTTAGCTAATTCGTTATGTAATACTTTGTGCAATTTATGAATGATCTCATGATGAAGATGTTGGTTTGATTCATCCATGGGATGGATTAAATTATCTTTAATTAACTGTCGATGAGCTTGAGAGTTAGACGATAATGGTATAGCAGCGTTCATGGTTACCATAAAGGCGAAAATAAATAAAGCCATCCAAGTTATTCTAAAATTTGAATTCATATTTATGCGTGAGGCTAGATAATTCGATTCTAAAAAATAGTTTATAATAAGTAAGAATAATTAGGATAAGATTTACCAATATTTTAGAACAATCGTATACGATATACAAGTATGAATTGATCAAATTATCAATATCTAGACAGAAAAAATAATCATTGCGTATCGACTAAGGCCGTACCGTTCAACGATGTCATGAAATCAAGTACTGGCACTGTAGTTCTAGCTAATATCGCAATAATATTCTCTTATCTAACCGCAAACGTACAATGGCTAAAGATCTACCAATGTCAGTTATCAGCTGCAATTATTGTAACTTACAACTTTTTCAATATCTTACTACGATTTCAGAACAGAAAATAATTACGCACAAAATATCGCTAGATTGTACAACCCTAATGTGTCGAAAGAGGGAAAAATTCAATCAAGTATAAAGTATTTGACGGCTTCACAAATACAAATTAACGTAAAGCAAATACTAGTTATGATAAAGTGGTGAAGGAAAGCGAAACAGAGTTGGTACTGCTGTGAATTCATGAAGCTAACTCTATAAAGGATGATTAAAAGATATAGCAATAGTTTAGCTGAATAATTACATTTCTTACCCAGTTATGTATTTCAATTTGGACCAGAGTAAGTTAGCTGATAATTTGACTTAACCAAATGATGTTCTGCAAGTGTGTGAATAGAGAAAGGAACGACTGGTAGGACTATTTATAGCCTTGTTAGAGCATCATAAATAAATGCCTCTTTTAATTTTATTCAAACTACCATAATGTCAAGTTTACAAAGACAAACATGTTGATATAACGATTATCGAAGCCAATAATATCGATATTGTCTTACCTTAATTATTTGTCCAACTTTATTTAATCAGGTGAGTAACTAAAGCTCAATTGGCGGATTAACATTATATTACTAAGTTTTAACCAGAGTAGATTAATTGTGATTGTTAGAATTCGACACCAGAGTACCGATCGCTAGTTACTAGAATACAAAATAGACAATGCGGGCATTTTTTTTCTCGTCAATAACATTAACACACCTTAATTTCCAAATATCAACTAGTAATCAATCTCTTATTCGTTTATCATGTTTAAGCTTTGACAACTAGGATAAAAAACAGCCTTATAATTAATATCAAGTGAAATAGAACAGTCCATCGGAAGCCGTGGGTTGAAATAAACAAAATTAAATATCAACTAATAAGAAGATTCAAGATAGTAGCCGATAGAATATTTTATTTCTCTATTTCATTATTATCTACACAATATCTCACAGTATTCACAAAATTGAAACCTACCCACATCATCCAAAATTATTTTGAGTGGGTGATAATGTGATGAAATAAATTTTACGCATTCACAATAATCCTGCTTATTGGTGATGTTAACGATGATAGTTTTTACGTCTAAATATAAATTATTAGCATAATTCTGTTTTGTAGAATCAATAATGACGAGTAATAATACCTATTAATTATAAATGTTATAGAGCAGTTTGAGTACTTATGACGTCTGCAATTTTAATTTTCTTTCATTCATCAATCTGTAAAAATAGTTAAATACTAAAATTTAGATTCTTTTAAACACCCACTTCTCTTCATTATTGCAAGCGTCCATATCCAAGAGCTTATTGACAGGTGTTTTCAGATCATCTTCGAGATTATATTAAGCCAAATTGATCTTCAATTATTAAACGAAAGATTTTAAATATAATCAGTAAGTTAATAATAATAGCTTTTTCTAGGTTTTTTAAGTCACAGTAATACATATGTGCTATAAAATATGAAAGAGGTTATTTAGAATTGCAGTGACTATCGATATCATCATATCAATCTATCGTTTTCCAGTGACCGGACTATTACTTGCAGCATCTTAATTCAAGGTCAATATCATGTAATATTCTGTTACTCTATGAAATAATAGATTATAAACTACTGAAATCTATAGATTGCAGCATGTTGATACCCAAGAAACTTCTTATTTTGTTAATAATAAAATCTTAAATTATAAATAAACCTGAAATAATGGCGTAACTAAATAAAGAATTTAATTTTTATTATTGTATTACCTGCTTGACTTAGCATACCGTGCAGTTATTATTTTGCCGTAAAAAATTATACGATTGTCTAGCATTGATCAGATCTATCTACGTTTATTTAATAAGAATTTCGAGTAATAAATTTTGTATTCTAATAAACACAATTATATATCCTTTAGTTTCTTTTTAGTCGAATTTCATGCCATTGCTCGCGATTAATTGGTTTATTTTTTTAAAACTATGTCTATAATATGCTATTAGATTGAGTTAACTTTTCGTGATGAGAATGAAGAAAATATGTTAAAATTGATACAAAATTATTTTCCGCACGTTATAATGCGAAGCTATTCTAATCTAATCAATCAAGTTATATTATTGATTAAGCTGAAACTGTTTATGGTATGTTTACAACTTCACATGGGTTTATTTTAATCTGTTTGTTGACTTATTATCATGAATTATGTATACGTGTATTTCAAATAATGCAGAATTTGAGAGTTAATGACGTAATAAGATCTATAAACCCGGTCTACGTCGAACTTTATATGAAAAAAATTTTAATTTAATAAAGTAGTCTATAGTTAAATAAATTATAACGTTGTATTTCTTTTAGGGACTGCTGCGAAAAAAGGTGAATATAAATAAAACTTACAAATTTATACGGTTTGCTTGGCTATAATGTACATGAACTTCTAATTATTTGTTATTTTACAAGTATTCTGACTTTGAAGTCAACTTTATCGGCACTAAATGTAGCTAGAATATCATAATTTGGAAATAAACCAAGAGAAATCTGTGATGAAATTATGGTTGCAATATGATGACGTAGCATCTATTTTATAATTAAAATTACCCTTTGACTTGTCGTCAATCACATAAAGGCTATAACTAATTTAATTATAATCAAATACTTAAATTTAAACTATTTCTATATTCAGAGATAACAAAGTTCATATTTTCCATGATTAATCTACTGTTACTAATGAGTATAGTACCTGTAAACATTATCGCAATCAGTTAACAAAACTAAGCATTCATAATTATTTAAAAATGCAATTGTTGACCACGAAATAGAGGAATTTTCAGTAAGTAGTTGAATTACGAACATGAATTTTAAGATATTCTTTTACAAATTTAATCTAAAAATAACTATCAGTTAGTCATAAGTAATGATTATTGTAATAAAGTACAAAAGCTAATTACAGTTGCGTATGGTATTAACGTCGTCAGCTATTATTGGGTTGTAATCTTAAATTAGTTATTTGTTTGCTAATACTAATAAATCGCGATGCTAATAAAGCGTAAAATGAACAAGAATGCTCCAATATATGGAAATAAAATTAGTGTTTTTTATTTAAAAAAAAAACGATTAGCTCTTTATAAAATTTACTATTGAATATCAAATAATAAAAATAATTACAATCCTAGAGGCTAGTGCATCGCTATCCAATCAAAAAGAAATTGTTGGACACAGGATATGATGAATGAAACTATGAATTTTATCTTACAGACTTGCATTAACAAATTTTTTTTTAATGCCATATATCTTGTTATAGCTAAGCTTGTTTTCACTGAAATGGCCCTAAAAGTTCGAGAAATTCGTTAGCACCAATCTATTATAATCCTCACATGATACGAAAATGTTATGATACGTACAAGAATACAAGATTTTTATTATGATACTTTGATCAATTGATATCGTATAGAAGATCGTATTAATCAGGAATCTTAAAATGTTTATCTAAAATTTAATAGCTGTTTATGAAATAGGAATAAATATGAACTGAAGCCAATAAAATAGATTCAAGGACTCTTTAAAATATTTAATTCCGGTTGGATCAATTCTTAAATGATCATACGAGTATAACGCGTATACCATTTGCCCTCACTTGATCTCATAATAAATGAAATTGTTATTGTGCTTTGGCTGGTCGCAAATAGAACTTGATAGATGAAATAAACTAGTAAAGAAAATTGAATATTCTGTGCACATAGGTAAGTCGATCTTATGTACTAATTTTCCTAGTTTTATGGGCAGTGGCCTTTCTTCAATATAACTGCCAGCTGCAAATATTAAGTATTGGTGTTTAGACAATACCGGTAGCGTTATTTTTGACTAAAAAGTTGATTGATATTTTACAGATCCGATTTAACCTATTTATAGCCAAAACTTAATATCGTATTAAATAAGTAATTATAAACTAGTCTTTTACAAATAAATAAATGAATAAATATATCTATGCTATAGTTTAAACCACCAACTGTAAATATTTTATTCGTCGAAATATAATAACTATTACAGCTGTTCATATGGTACCGGTACGTTACTTTTATATTACTTACTTTTGGTATTAAGCCATGCATAACTTTATAAATCATGAGTATTTCATTCATCATAGTAAAATATCGGATATTTTTAGATTGGTTCATCAACAATCAGATCAGAACCTTACATTTAAAAACTAGCACATAAGATAGGGTAAAGCACCCTATATTTTTAGGCATTACCAGTATACAATTGCCCTGTTCTTCAATTTCCTGTCTGCTGATTAGATTACAAGAACTGTCTAAGGTGAGCTTTTAATAAGTTCTTGGCTTTCATAAATTGCGGTTCGCTTCTTGCTACCACACTTGAAAACATTATACAGTAAATCTTATTCATTGCCCTATTCATACTCATGGATTTATGATCTACCATAATAAAGCATTCACAACTTGTATATCCTAAAGTTCACGATCAAAGTGATGTTATACTGTTCCGCATTTTTTCATTATTAAATATAGTATAAAAGAAAAGTAGAAATAACAAAAGCAATCGAATATTTTTAAAATTATAACTATAGTTAGCTAAATATAGCAAAGCCTAATAATTATATAATCAAAATATTAGAATAGGAAATGCCAATATGCGGTTATGTTATTTAACCAGAATGGTCCTCTTGTGAAGGTGACTGATTATTCCAAAACAAATATTATGTTGTTTTGCATTCTTAATTGTAGGCGAATAAAATTTATCTCCTAAAGCATATTTTTAGCACATACCGGATATTTTTTATAGAATGTTTTAATGATGCGAAAATATTACAGTATTCATTAAAATTAATATGTGGGCTTATTCATAAGAGGATAATTGTGATACACAATCAATAAAATCTTGAGTTAGGATAAAAACAGTATATCTGTTTGCGAGATGCTGCATAATTTACATCCGGCGTAAACTTGAATTAGTACAAGTTGGATAAACGATGATTAATTTATTAAGTGCTGTATCATTAGAGGATTATATTTAAATCAAACATGATCTCATTTAATATTTGCATGTGGCAAGATATTACATTGATTGTTAAGATATTCTAGCGATAGAATGGGTTCACATGATAGCGATAGAAATAACAAAATATAATAAGCTTCTTCGTCCATTCCAGATTTTCGTAGATTCATTAATACAATAGCTTTAGGATTAATAATGTAGATGATTCTCAATAATTTCAGTAGAAGCCTTAAAACTCTAGAACTGTGCATTTTCAAATACTGATCGAATTAATATTATCGATCATCTGTATGCACGCCAATAGTATAGTACGTCTAGACTATATAATTTTTCTTAGCATTAGCTGCGCCATAATAATTTATTATTTTAGCATTCATATGAGTCTGGATTTATGCCTCATGATTAAAATACATAGAAGCAAAATGGCGGAAAGCTATTTTACTACATGCACTCATTGTTACTTTACCACATGAAGATTCGTAACTACAGAATCAAGAGTTCATAAAAAATTGGTATAATAATGATATCTATACTTCATCTTTATTAAATGTTCGTGAATAATACTAGAAATGCATCAACATAAGCTCAAATTGGAAATTTCTAACTACAAATTATACAATCAAGACAGATTCGTAGAGCAGCATTAAAGGTATAATATACTTCCTTTCATGTGTCTACTAATGATATTAATTTCATAACTTGCAAGAAATTTAAAATTTACCGTATTTTAGTAGCATATCCAAGTTTGTTCACTAAGTAGTCATATATATGAACGTATATTCAAATGGGTTGTGTTAATATTTTTATGGTATTAAGATGATCAATTATGTAAGTTTATGCCATAAGTATATTCCATGTAAGCTAAAGGCTTTAATTTTTCGCTCAATGTGAAATTGAGGGGAAAATTATTTTATTGCGTTTCTTTAGCTCCTACATGATACTATTCATAAAATATTTTCGGTTCTAATTTTAGCCTAGAATTAAAATCAGACGCTACTAGCCATCACCTTTGTATTTATGGATTAGGAATCAATTTTTTAATTTTACCTCTCTCCAGCTATAGGATGCAAGCATTGATACTACTTTATAAAATATTGAGATACCGATCTTTATAAGTAATGATATCGCTTTCGGGAAAAGTATCATTATCATGAATAGGCGTTTATCTTGTTTGAGTGGCAATTTATGGTGTTGTACAATCGAATCATTAACTAACGGCCGCCAAAAACTGATATATTTTTATCGCATATTAAGATATCACATACCTGTGAATTGAAGTCAAGATATAAAATTATTGAAAATTACAACAAAAATTTTTGTTGCAAAATGTTAACTTAGGCCAGCTTTATCGGATAATTAATATTTCAGTTGGCCATTGTTTCCTATTTATGTTTTTTTCTAATGTAGCATTTAAGCGGTTCGATATGTTACAGTAGCCATATCGTCTAATTTACTGAAGTTTAGAATAAATGAACTTATAATAGCTAAACTGAAAGTAAAATGTCTAAAAATAGTAGAAAACATACAGCGATAAAACAATATATATAGAATAAAATTAAAAAATCTAACAGCTAGATACTAACATTTACTTTGGAAACATTGACACAGTTTATTAGTTATTTTCTAATATTTTTGATAACCATTTGTAAATGGGTATTGTTGTTACGCTTGTATAAATACCAGGGTAATATTTTTGTCCGCAACCCTGTCCACCACTAATGACACCAGCTAAATACCATCGATTTGAATACGCAGATGGGACTGCATCTGGACGATGCTTACATGATAGTGGACCACCACTATCACCATAGCAAGCATCTGTGTAGCCTTGCATATAACCAGCACATAACATGTTAGAAGTTATTTGACCATTATAAGAATGGGTACTATTACAAAGTTTCTGATTCAAGATAGGGACATCGGCATAACGTAAGATATGACTCGGCTGGCCAGCTGTTCTACCCCAACCAGAGATTTTGCATGAGTTAAATTCATTAAATGTATCATTAGCTGCTGGAAAACATATTGGCCGCACGAAATTATTAATAGCTACTGGTGCATTAAGCTTAATTAAAGCAATATCAGCATCCATATCTTTAATATGCAAATAGGAATATTTATCTTGAAATATGGGATGTAGAAAGATAGACTTAGCGATCCTTGTTTGCTTAGTATAGTTCTCTTCTGCTAAAAGATTATGCCGTCCAAATTCAATATCAACTAGAAATGGTTTATTCGATACACAATGACTTGCTGTAATGAGCCAGTTTTCATTAATTAATGAGCCACCACAAGTACTTCTACGCCGAAGATTCCCTATCGTAGTATGCACAGTCAATAACGCTTGCCATGGAACGCTATGAGGAGAAGCAACACTACCGCCAACAATCCGAGGTATAGAGTTAGCTATACCACATCTTGGATGATTGGGTATCGCTCGAATCGATTGAATTTCTTCTGCACCTAATGTATTGTTAGATATAATTAATTATAATGGACAAATAGGAAATCAATGGATAATAGAAAATCAGATTTGCACTAAAACACCTTTATCGAGTTTGAATGAATTGTACTAAATGATATGTTACTCAAAGGATACGATAAAGGAAAGTACTTACGTTGATCTTTTCTCCAGATAATATCATCGATAGCTAAATTGGCATAACCTGCTGTGGCAGAAATATGAATCTATAGAAAGATGTAAATATGGGCTTAAATTAACCCCCATCATAGTTTATGAAATGGCTATGCTCATCAATACTGGCACAAATCCGATGGCAATATGATAGCATTTAAATAACATAATCAACGCTAATTATAACAATAATAAAAAATTGAAGATGTCCAATATTCTAGTAGCTATATATCCATCACAATATAATTTTCGAATTATTTTATATAAATATTGACATTTACCGAAATACGATATATATGTATGTGCAATGCAGTGATGAAATAGGCTTACTTGATATTCTTGTCCTTTAGGAACGTTAATAGGTATCTTTTCACTCAACCAACTAACGCTTTGACTGCCACTTTTAGTCCAAATGACACCGTTATATGTTGTAGAGATTGATAATGTTCCAACAACATAGGTATACATATGATAGGAAAAAGTAAGTTCAAATCGGTTACCACTGCTTTTCATGTCTGGGCTAACTAATACCGCACGATTAGTTTCCATGTTGGTAATACCATCGATGAAAGCGTAATAGTCTATTAATGAAATAAGGAACTTATGTTAATAATTATGTTTGAATATAGAATTTTATTGATCACTTGTGCTTGATAGTTCTACATTTAAAGATAAACTAGAATGTATAAATACTTATCGAATTTTAATTTTTGATGATGTACTTAAGCACCTGGACGCAATTTAGTACTCGTTTTAGCTCCAATAGATGTAGTTGTTACAGGACCAGACCTTCTTCCCCAATCAAAATCATCGAAGAACGCATTATTCCAAGCACAGAAGTCATCTTGAAAGTTGCAATCTAAGTTGGCTGTGATATCGATAATTTATAAAATTGAAGAAGTTTGTATATTGTTAGACGAATTTGTGATGAGACAAATATCAAATTCTGTAAATCATACAACTATAAAACTATAAATAGTTTCTATGATAGGATAATAAAAATCATTTAACGTTCATTTCATTTTAATAGAAATCGTTAATTAGAACATTTTGTCTATCTACTACTTTTAATTTACCTTCATAATCCCAGATAGCCGCTGTATCATGATATTTATCCGATGAAATATGGTAAAATGGAAAATAATAAAATCTTTACGTTATGCCTTAAAGTTTTGATATAGTTTAAATTTACTCTGGTACTTATTATAACTGTTATGATCCTTGCGGGTTAGTAAAGCTAAAAATTTAAGAAATTTGCCTCACTTACGGCATTTTCCGGGAAGTAGCTGAACATCATCAAGTGCGATCCTTCCGTCTCCTCGACGACGTAATGCTGTGATATAAATCTATGTCGAAAGATTTCATTTTAATTCTAAATGTACTCAAGATTCGGATAATGATTGGTATAATTTACGGACAAAGAATAATTAATATTGATACCTTGAAGAGAACATAACGGTCTACTTTATCGATTGTAATTGCAGCTTTACGCCAAGTATTTATCCTTCCACCATCTTTAGACCAGATTTTGCCGTTAAAGGAGGTGGTTACAGCCAATGATGTCGTATTACCGACGATAAGATAGGAAAATTTGAAGCACAGTTTATCATTGCCTTGCAGTAATGGACTCTTGATAATAGCAAAGCCATTGCTCCCATCTCTATTGAATAAACTTAAGTACCGATCTGCAATGAAGATCATAATAAAATACAAATATTAATCTCGTAAAATAAATTGCAGTACGAATAATGATGTGCTCTTCTTCTGTAAAACGCCTAGTCTTAATTCTTAAACATTAATAAATGATACTGAGCTAGTATCATCATATTTTCTGTATCGATACAATTCATGTAAAAATAAAAATTTATTTGTATTCTGCACTGAAATTCTATGCCAGGCATATTTGATATCTGCCTGTGACTTATCAGACAGTATCTAATTTTGATCTGACTTAACTTACCACGATTTTCCAACTCAGCGAATTCCCAGTCTAATGTATCTAAATCACTTTGCTCCCAAGAACAAAAATCTTTTTTAAAATCGCATGTCCAGTTCGAAACTATAAATATAAACGAAAAATTTTCTATTAAGCTATGCGCAAGCATTAAAATCGAGATTGTTAACGATGTATTCCACGCAGTGATGACTTAATAGTTTAGAAATCGTCATGCTTATATTGGAAAAATAAAGTAACGCTTTCTATTCTATTTCTGTCAATTACTGTAAGTGGATAATTCATGATTGCCTGTCTGATTTGACGACTAGATTGTTTTATGGCTGTTATATAGATAAAATTAAAACCTTAAAGGTTAGTATCATATTGTTAGTAAATGTACTATACCATAAATTATTAGCAATATAGCCTATCACAATTACTGAGTAAATCATATATTATTATTAGCTAAATTTAAATTGCTAACGTGGTTCTTATAAATTTTAGTAACTGAAAAAGATTCGTTTTATACTCCGGTGTCGATTTATTAAATATTGTCACTCTCTAAAAAATTTAGCCAGGTAAGACTATACATTGTCGGAAAGCAAATTCTGAATTAGTAAGATTTTGTAATGATGTGAGTATTAGTTACTTCGTAAGCATTGAGCTCCTGTAAATCCGGGAGGACATTGACATTTATATCGCCTTCCATTAGCCAAGCTTACGCAAGTGCCCGATAGGCAAGGATTACTTTCGCACGCTTTATATCCTTTAACTAAGATCAATTAAAATGGCTAAGAGATTGTGATATCTAAGAGAGCAATATAAAATAAATATTTAATTTTTAGTGTATTTTATTAATACTAACAGATTTCGCAGTGTTTTCCTTCATATCCTATCCAACAGTCACATGTATAGCTAACAGAGCTGATGATATTACATCGACCATTCTTGCAAGGATTCTGGTTACATGGGTGTATGCCTAGAGAATTATTCAGTATGCTAATTTTATCACCATGAAAAAATCATGTATTTTAATAGGGGTAATATCATAAATACCAACCACAACTGCCTTCATTTATTTCGATATCGTCAATTGCAATATCACTTGACCAGTCAAGGCCACAAACTGCTACGATATGAATCTATATGTTGCGTATAAACCATGAGTTTTAATGTCGTAAATGCTTACTAAATCAATAAAATCAGAATTTTTTAGCAAAAGCAAAAATCCTTATTTTGATTGCTTAACTATAAATTTTTCATTATAAACTGTATCATGACAAATGTAAAGCTTAATCCGAATCTTTATACTATGCATTAATAGAAATTATTATGTACCAAAACGTAAAATTGATCGACCTGATAAAAATCTAAAACTTTAGTGATTTGTAAAATTTCTCCCTCTTATGGACATCAGCTTAATAGCATCGTTACTACAGTCATGTCAAATAGAATGGATTTCTCTTAAAATAATAAATACCTACATAAGTTGATATTATTACCCAATATATAAAGTAGTACACACATAATTAAGAGTCAACATTAAAAGTCAGTAAATATGTGTAACAATTAGAAAATGCTATATATGATAGTATTGACATTTAATTAATGTTAGAGAAGGAGTACAGCTATTTTACTAATGTGTAGAATAATAGCGTACTAGATTATTAGGATTTCGATAACGATTGGAATTGGAATTGCACTATATTAATGCAATTAACTATTTAGAGAAAGTAGTTCCGGAGAAGATTTTAATATATGGGTATATTTAAAATACACGATGTATTACTTGATATTCTCGTGGAATAGTCGTTATATTGATCTTTGCTTCTTTCCAATCTTGACCTTGACTACCTTCCTTTACCCATAATACTTCGGTTGAATTTTTAGTTACAACCTTAATTAATAATTTGCCGACTCGTTTACCATGCATATGATACCAAAATGAAAAGCATATCGGTCGTTTATTATTCAGAACTCTGCTAACTAATATAACTTTCTCTCCAGCGTGTCTATCAGAGGCTTCCATATATGCATAATAACCTGTATTTTAAATTTTTTCTCAGGTTTAGTTCACTTTATGCATAAAAGGTAAATTCATTAAAGTTCTCTATATTGCACATAGATATAATATCTTTGAAATAGTCGGGAAATATAATATTTTCGAATTACAGTATACTATGTGCTCACATGCTTACCGTTTGGCGTCTGCAAGGTATGATCATAATCAGGTCCAGTATTAATACTATAGGTTGAGCCAGATCTTCGAGTCCAATCAAAATTGTCAAAGCCAACATTAGTCCAGCCGCAGTAACCCGATTCAAAATTGCACTTTAAATTATCAAATTCTGTAATATTTTAAAGGCACTTATATTAATATAATACAGTCGATAAACTTCATTTTTTCGAATTATTTCACTTACAAAGGGTTAGCATCAAATAATGTCGCAAATAATCATAGGATACAAATAATTTCATGTAATTACGTCAGTAACTAGACCAATATTTACTAGACCTAAAATAGCCTTGCAATAGACTGTTGCCAGTGTTTAGCAAGCAACAAGAAATTAAGTAATTTGAATATTACAAATGTTACATACGGTACTCTATATGCAAGTTCATTTACAGTATCCTTTAATTTTAAATTTTCACTATGATAAAATCTAACTTTAGATTCCATGTTATTGGTAGTTACAAATTATCAAGCGATCAGAATTATTTATAGTTTGGAACGCTCTCCGAGTAAGTCATTAGATGGTAAAGGAAAACAGACTGAGCTATACAATCTAAGGAAATTCAACTTCTTATCTCATCTACAGTAATACTAAAAGTGTATCATATATATCACATAGTATTAAGATATCTTATTATTTGTTAATAATGACTTAAATTACCTGTATTTTTACACAATCCTTTTTCCCATGTAATATCATCGATAGCTATATCTGCTTCGTAGCTATTTCCGGCGTACCCAGTAATCGATATCTAGAGAACATAATAACGTTAACTTGATGCATGCATGACGTAAGTTCACAGAAAACTTTTCAGTCCTTAACTCAATGATAAGTTAGTTAGTATTCTCATTAAGAAGATACTATATTGTGCGATGATTTATATTCTAAAATTTATGTAGTAAACCAGCATACTACTGTAAAGATACATTTCAAACTATACTTATCAATTAGAAATTTGACTATAAAAGGACAAAAGTATTATACATGTGAGAGAATTTTATTAATTCAACATCATCAATAATCCACTTAACTCACTTTATATTGTTGCACTCTTAAGAATATATCGACTTCAGCTAATAGCCAAATATTGCCATGATTATGCTCTTTTGACCATAATATTTCTAATGTAGATGATACAACTTGAAGTCGACTAACGTCTGCTCCATTCATATTGTACCAAAATCGTAGGCAATGACTATGATTACTGCGAATTACAGGACTCTCCAAGGTAGCCCTATTGTATAATGGATTGGATGTTTCAAGGTATGCGTAATAGCCACCTTCAAAATTGTTTCGAGGGAAAAATGTTATCAGTATAACTTTAATAGTAATCATTAGCAGAAATGTATGATACAGTAAAGCTTGCTATCAGTTTGATTAGGAAACCTATTTTAGAAATATTAAAATATACTGTTTCTCTCACGATTTGGATTTTGATAGGTATGATCGTAACTTGGACCAGTTTTGGAGGTGATAGTTTCTCCCTTGTTTCTGATCCAAGCAAATTTAGAATCTGTACGACGGCCACTTTCCCATTGGCAAAAATTTCTCTCAAAATTACAACTTAAATCGACCTCTGTAAATGCTTCTGCACCTAAATATGCCAGCACAATATATGTTATGAAAAATTACAATCATGAGCTATTCCAGTTAGGAAAAAAGACAAGCAAATCTATTTAATTATTTGGTCTTTTTGATCTTTATTTCTGGAAAAAAATCAATATATGAATGTAATAAATGTTTTGTTGATGTTAATGTTAGGATGTATCAGCAATTGGCTTTAAACTGCACGATACCGTTTGTTTGGCCTATTACGGCAATCTTATTTTAGCTAATAACTAATTGCTATTGTTCTATTTAATTTCGTACGCTGATTTTTATCTAACCATAAAGTATATAATAAATTTGCTCTTATAAATTTATGGTCAAGTCGATAAAATAGCGCACCAGATAGCTTAGAGTAGGTGTAATAAATTAAGTTTCGGCGAGGTTAAATACGTATAGTTCGAGCACATTCTCAAAAACTGTCTGCATATGTGATCTACACTATTAAATACGAAAGTGCGCATCTGGACCTGTCTTAATTTGCAATAATGCCTTTCTTATTACTATAGTCATGGATATGATTTAAATATGGAAGCTTAAAAGTTCTTATTACGTTACCCATTAACAATTAATTAGTATATGCTCGAATAACTCGTATATTCAGGTTTAAACACGTTCTTGATAATCATATATTAGTGATTTCAGATGCGCAATGTAAATTTTTATTTCCATCTGTATCAAATGTTTATGAGGATGGAAAAGGATAGATGATGTAAATTTAAAGTCAATATACGCATCATTGTGTTATTATATTATAAGGGATTACGGTATCTACTCAAAATTATAAGTAGAAGAGTGGGTAAGAAGCGAATTATGAATATTACTTTGTCCTGAAGTAAACCTTCACTGTGATGGAAAATAGGTTGCTGATTTATATAAAAATGTGGTTATTTTATGTTAATAATTATAATTTAATACGTGTTTGGAACACTGTCACTATTTTATTATTGACAGTAAATCTAAAACCGAGCTATCGGTTGTACCGGTATTTAGTAAATTTGACTAAAATTGAGTTACGAATTTATTTCCATTCCTTAAAGTGATTATAGTAGATAAAAGGTAGATTATAAATTTGCATTGCCAATCAGTGTACGAGCATAATCTATTTTTTTATAAACCTCTATTTCATTAATGGATCTCAATCTGAAATCAGGTCACTGACTTGTTTCTATCATTAATAATGTAATATGGAGAGTAGGTTGAATGAACCATAAATATTATATCTATTTACATTATCTACTTCTAGCTCATGTTTGGGTGAAAAAAGATTATTGATTTAGATTTTAAGTCAATGCATAATCATATTATTCTTGCGCAACTTGATTCCAAAAGCATTGGTTCTAGTTTAATGCAATAATTAGCAAGTTTGAAATAACAACTACGCATGGATTGGAATCCGTTGAGAAAAATTATTCATAAAGCATTGATTCAGTTGACTTTTGATCTTTTATATCAATATTGCTATCATATGTGAATATCGTGAAATATTACTGCTCAAATTAGAGTTAACTTACCGCTGATTGAAGCCCAAGCAAATATAAATATTAATATTGTCAACTCCATGAAGAAAGAAGGAGAATGACGAAGCATCTTAGTAATATTTTTCTCTCTTAATTGGCAAGTATCAATTAATTTGGTTAAAATTGCCGCCTTGCTTATTTCTTAATAATAGATTTGAAAATCAATCGAGTTCTGCATAAACAATTCGGAGAAAGAGAAAAATAAATTTATAGTCAGTGTGAAAAATAGTGTTTAACTTCTTTGAGATCCTACATAATCATCAAGACAAATTAAAATTGACTCATAAAAAGCTATTTGTAGTAGATATACTCTTAGTATTGTCATAATGACTACATCGTGAACATAAAAATTAATGAATATGTAAAGAAGCATGCTATTGAAATAGAGTAGAGTAGTTTTTTCCTCTAAAAATTAATTAAATTCTTGAGTAGAATTTACAGTGATAAAAAATTAAGCTCTGAAAAAAGACTGATTAGCCTATATAGAAAAAATTTAATAAAGCTTACCTTCTGACTCTTGCGTAGGTTGATGAATTATATTTAGGCTTTCCTGTCATTAAGAAATTCGTTAGTTAATTTACTGGTAGATAAGGCATTAGGTAATTAAATCTATATCATATGGAGATTTAGGAGAACCGTTTATTGTATCAGTTGATATCAATCGATGAAGAAAAAACTTGTGATAATGAAATAGTGTTGACTTTTATATTAACATATTTTCAATGACTTGCAGAGGCTCTCGTATATTGATATAAACTCATTTATTAATATATGATATAGAAAACATCTTCCGTCAGCATGATGTAAAGCATACTGAGATTGGCATGTTAAATTTCTGCCAATCATGAGCTTGCTACCTGGGTGTTCTAAGCCTATCTCTCTATAGTATTTGTCATGAAAGGGGCAGTTAGTAATTTGTTATTCCATCTTCGATAAAATGACCTCATTTCAAGAGGCAAAATATTTATGTAAATATGATGATGACGACTGCAAATCTCTTACAAATAGCCATTTAGTACGCAAATACCAAGACTTATTACCAGCTTTATAATAATATACAAATTCTAACCAATACTAGGCACCCCGTTGAGAAATGATGTTTTTTTCCACCTGGGTGAATTAAAAAATAATTTATGACTCCATATCTACGGTGGAATTCATAAAAATCTAAAATGCCACAAATTTTGATTCTACGTTCGTGATATTAGCCTCCTTTTTAGCATGAAACGGAATACTATAAATATAATAAATAATTTCTGTTGTTCATTTTTTGCGAAATTAATAGATCTATATAAAGGTAAATTTTCCGGTGTATGCTTAAAATGATATGAATTAAATTATAAGGAAGTTCACTGTTAAAACTATTACTGACTCAGTTCTCACTATTGAAAAAATCATGATATTAAAATTTAATCTTTATTTATTCTAGTAAATCTATTACTTATAGAAATTATTTACGATAAATGTTATTCCCATGATGTAACATTACCAGTTGTCACTATAAGAAAATCGTGCTGGCTCACCATTTACTGGTATTTTCAATATCGTCAATAAACTGCAAGTAACCAACAAAAACACTTATTGAAAGAATAATTTTTTACTGAATACAGTGCAGTTCAGCCAGAAATATCTTACTTAGTAAACAAGCATCTGAAGTATCACGAGCGCGGGGGTTCACTAGTTATTTTAATGTAAAAAATTAGAGTAAGAAGAAGGTGAAATATAAAATATTATGTTAGTGTTAAATGTCAGACTTAGGCATATTACTTGCTTAACAGTCATTATCATCATTTGTACCCTATGTAACCTTAATAAAATGACATATTTTCACGGTCGTGATGGCATTACTTTGAAGAGTTTAATAGTTGACCGTTTTCTAGCATTTTACGGTAAGATGTCGAATGAATGTCATCATAAATAGCACTGCTTAATTAACAAGAACTGTATGATTGAGATCGAGAAATAGCAATAGTAAATGAAGAGTTCGAAGTACTAACTAAAGAAGATTTCTTAGCCACAATTACATTCATAAGCAACATTGCATATGGGAATAGATAGAAATTCTTTATTGGGAAGAAAGTATTGTGCAAGATAGATAGGTTGTTGTGCTAGACCAGCGAATCAGTTATAATGAGGTCAAATAGTAATAAGTGAATGCTACTTAATGACCGCAGCAATTGAGATATAAAGATAAACCAGCGTTATCGATAGAGTAAGAACAGATGATATTTAGGAGGTATAACGATAAGTCTAAATACATCATACTTAACATATACTATATTAAAATAGTCTACAGCAGCAATGTATGATAGAAAGTGATGGCAGAAGAACCGATGATATTATTTGATGATTAATCTTATACGGTACCAAACCAACCATCAAATTGAGGGATTAGATAGCACAATAAGGTATTTGCATTCCACTCAGGCGTTGGGATAAGTTTTCTTATCCAGTTAGATTAGGGAGTAAAAAATTGTATAGATGAATACAACTTTATTGAACAAGTGAAGCATCAAGTATTATTCCACTTATCGTATCCAACCCAATGCTGTAAAAGAATACACATCTTATATTTGTTATCCCTAGTTATATATTAATCTACACTTTAATTTGAATATTACTATATTAGGCTAACATGTTACCTCTTGATATGACGTTAGCACTACGTATTAATTATTTATAAATATACGCTTATGTATGGATATATATGTATGTCCAAATTAATTACCGTACGTATATGTAAATTTATTAACGTTATTTATTACACAAACCAATCTGCGATGATTGAAAAATAAGTTCAATATTTCTTTATCCATTGCTAGAATCAATACTGTATCAAATCTCAAATTCAGTCTGATTGTAGTAGAGGTTCACATACTGACCTATCAGGTATGACAGTAATTATGAAATCTTTGTTAAATTTAAATCGAATACGTTTTATCATTATAGCTCCTGTCGGATGATGTCTGACTAGCCTTTCTGATGAAATGATTCTATATTTTAACATAGTAACTCTATCAATGATCTTCATTTGGCTATTATCATCACTATGGAAATGATACTACGAATTATTTTATTGAGATTGATCATATACCATTTCAGATTCATCTTTACTTTCCTAGGTTAATCTTGATATATAGCTTAAGATAATTGGTTTAGAAACACATCAGTTTCAGAAAATGAAGTAAATTAGGGGTAAATAGTTAATTAGGGTACGTGTTTATAGCTTAGCAAAAAATATTCTATCAGATCAAGATTTTGCCAGTCACCCAACGACAGTAATAATTTTCCATCGAATAAACGCAAATCTCTTGATATATCGCATTATAATTATTATACACATTAATACATGTCTATCAAAACTGAAAATAGAAAATTGTTATATGCATTTAAGCTAACTTGCAATGAAGAAAGATAAAATGAACAATATGTAATGTAATCAATAGCAATATCTGCTTCATATCATTCCCCAGCGTACCCTGTGATCGATATCTACAGAACATAATAACGTCAATATAAAACATAACGTGAAGCTGTAGAAAAAGCTCTACGTTATTCAATTCAACAATAACTATTATTCTTATTAACATGAAAAAACATCATGCAATCACTTATATTCTACAACCCTTATATAATGAAAATAATATAGTGGTTTAAAGGATATGTTTCAAACTATATTCATCAATTAAAAAATCTGATTATAAAAAGACAGGATTGTTCTATACATGCCGCAATTTTGTTAATTTCAAATTACCGATAATGAACTTAACTTACTTTATATTCTTGTAATCTTAAGGATATGTCTGCTTCAGCTAATAGCTAAATATTGCTACGATTACCCTCTCTCGACCATAATATTTCTGACGTAGATCATACAACTTGTAGTCGACTAGCGTTTATTCCATCCATATAATATCAAAATCATAGACAATGACTATCATTACTACGAATTATAGGACTTTCCAAAATGGCGTTGTTGTATAGTGAATTCGATGTTACTAGATACGCATAATCGCCATCTTTAAAATTATTTCCAAAAGAAAACATTTTCAATATAATTTTAACAGTAAACATTAACAGAAATATTTGAAGTAGTAAAAATTGCTATCAGTTTGATAAGGAAGGCAACTTTAGAAATATTAAAATACATAATTTCTCTTACAGTACGGATTTTGATAAGTATGATTGTAACTTGGACTAGTTTTAGGGGCAGTAATTTTGACTCTGTTTCTTATTCATGCGAGTTTCGTATTTGGATGGCGGCCATTTTCCTACTCCAAAAATTTACTCTCAAAACTGCAACTTAAATCAATATCTGTAGATACAACTCTGCCTACATATATCGGTACGATAGTACAACGTAAAAATATTGCAATTATGGGTTATGCGAATAAAGAATAAAGACAGGTTAACTTTTTGTAACATATTATCTTTCTGACTTGTTTTATAACAAATTAAAGTAGATTATAGTGTGTACATTTTGCTGTAGTAATGCGAAAATATTTCTAATAGTTTACGTTAAGTAATGATTCATCTGATCTTTAATCTTTAAAGTCAGTATTACCATCATACGTTATTATGGTTGACGTATTATTATTTAAATTTTAATTAATTAGAGTTCACTTACCGTTGGTTGAAGTCCAACCAAATACACATATTAAAATTACCAATTTCGTGTAAGAATGAAGAGAACGACGAAGCATTTTGGTGAAAAATTTCTCTCTCTGTAGTCAATTATCAACAAAAATAATGAAACTATTTTACTTTTATTATGATAATACATTTGAGACAAATCGAGCACCGCTATATGCTATGAATATTGGAGAAAATAACAAACTAAATGTATAGTTAGAGTGGCGGAAGGTAGTGCATATCTTATTTTAGATTATGCATACACATGAAGATTAATTAAGAAATGGGCTATTTATTCATGAATACGCATATGCCAGTTAAACAGCAATAAAAATACGAGTATATAAGCAACATATTCTAAAAATACGATAGATTATCTTAATTCATAAAATTCAATAGACGTTTTGCGTAAAATTTAACTGGTAAGAAGTAGGGCTCTATAAAAACAGACAAGCCTAAATAATTCCAATTTTGATAAAACTTACCGTTTAAATTTGACGTGAATTGATAAATTTTTAAGCCTTTCTATAGTTTATGAAATTTTAATACCGACATACAAATGTATCATTTGGTAATTAAGCCTAAATTATACAGCGATGTACGTGAACTACGTTATATCAGTTGAAATAGATCGGTAAGACGAAACTTGTAATGGTAAAAACTATTGGTTTCTAGATAGAGTTCGAATAGCTTACGAAGCTTTATGTTAGTCTATAAAGGTAAATTCAATAATTTCCAAACGAAAAACTAGTACGTGCGATTTAAACAAGTATGTTCATTTGCAAGTTTGGAAAAAAAATATCTACCATCAGGCACAGCAAGGCAGACTGAGATCGACGAATCAAATTCTTTTCCAATCATCAACTTGCTACCTAGGTGTTCTAAACATACAAACCTATCATGCTAGCCTTGAAAGAGGAGTACATGATTTATTATTCTATATTCCACAAAATGGCCCCATTACAAGATTTAAAATATTCATGCCAATAAGAACATAACAAATGCAAGATCTCGTACAATTCTCATACAAATAGCGCATTATAACCACCGATAGTAAAAGTCCAACTTTACGAAAATATGCAACTTCTCAGTGTGATCCAACCGCGTTAGAATGCGGATAATTTTTCTTTCCACCTACGTAAATTCATGAATAATTTATTATTTCATATCGACAGTAGAGTCAATAGAGATCTGAAAGGTAAAGTTTGCAATGATCACAGATGTTAGCCTAGATATGAATACAGTTTTGATAGCAAAGATATGAGTCTAAAGGAGTAAATTTATTCAATACTTTCAAAACAAATCATAAGTTAATGTGGTCTAAATGAGTGTACTCCTTTATTAATTTTGGAAAAAATACATGTACCATCACAACGTAGTAAAGCAGGCTGAATTGAAAGAGGAGTTCATGATTGATTATTCTATCTAAGATGAAATGATCTAATCACAAGAGAGAAAATATTCACGCCAATGAGATGATGGCAACTGTAAAATCTGCTACAAATAGCGCAATATAATTACCCACGGTAAAACTCAATACTAACTTGATGAAATTATGCAATTTCTCAGCATAATCTGACACCATATTAAAGGATGATGATTATTCATTCAACTGACATAAATTGAAGAACATTAATATTTTATTTCTATCGCTGTAGACTCGATAGAGATCTAAATCACTGCGAACTTATATACTTATATAGAGCAAACTACCCTGAAATTGCGGTACGTCACTTTTTCTTCTGAATATTAATAGACAATTCTTGTAAGATTTATTTTAATGATATAAAGTAGGCGTCTGTAAAAAGCGATTAGATTAGATAGGGTAATTTTTTTTATTGGCTTTTAGGCGAATAGAGGAATTTTTAAACCAGTCTATAGTTTGTGAAATGTTTAGTATTTACAAGGTATAATTCGATTATTAAGCCTATATTAATATTTAATATAGTGACCTGAGTGGACTGTGTTTTATCAGTGGAAATCGGTCGATGAGAAAAACTTGCAATGGTAAAAATAATGTTGACTTTTTTATTAGTTCAATTTTAATAACTTACGAAGGTTTTATTTTAATCTACATGAGTCAAATCATTCATTAGTTTAAGTAAAGAAAACATGTACCATCAACATAATGTAAACGTACTGTATCAAGATTAGCATATTCAACTTCCCTCAATCATCAACTAGCAAAGCATTAGCTGTAAATTATACTGTTTCCATTTTACAACAAGTATTGCAAAGCTAGTTTTAATAGTTATTTTGGCCTGATAATACGTATTCTCTATTATATGTGTCATTCTCTATGTATAATACAGTAAAGGGAGTGCATTAAAAACTTTCTTATTTGAAGGAAGCTAATGAGCCATGGGCACTGTATACTATACAGTATTTCACAATTTTGGATTTGAATTTCTATTGGACTAAAGCGGCAATCTCGATAAAAATAAAGCAGCCATTCGATTGACAGTTTTAGGACTTCATAACTGTGGATTTAGGACTGATTCAGTCATTGAAACAGAAAAACAAGGGTAAAAGGCGATTAACGTCTTTAAAAGCTACATTGGGCATTCTGAAGGACTATCTTACACCTGAAAAAAGGTCTTTTAACAACAATAATTAGAATGCCTTTTAATCAACGTTCCGTTGAGAGCTCTCAACTACCACTGACATCATCGAATCAATGTCAAGCGTTAGTAAGTAATTGTACTAAAATACCACGTCTGAGCTTGGGTTTGAAAGCGACTCGTTAGCCTGATTTAAGCATTAGTACTAATCGTAAGTTTTTTGATTATTTTATAGTAAATGCGAAAATAGATGAATAGATATTTGACAATTTAAGCTGCAATAGCCAACATTTACGAAGGTTATCTATGAGAACTTATTTCAATCTCTAGGAAAATTGCACATTTAAGAGTTAAGGAATATAAGCGATGCAAAATTGTCCAAGTGCCTTTTTTGGAATGAAGGCTGAATGCAATCTTACCAACTACAGCAGAAAAATCCGATAAATGAGCTAGATAGTAAAATATGTGGATTGAAATTGAACTCGTTATCTTATTACGTTCAAATTATCCACTCGCGTTTTTGTAAGGATTATTTATAATTATACATTGACTATGCGTTAATGTATAAATGGCACTATAAGATTTTTTGTGCTAATCTAATCATTTACGCAAGCTTATGCCGTAAAGGCATTCTGTTTAAACTGAAAAGATTTAAGATTTTTCGATAGGTGTGAAATTTGATAGAGGAAATTTGTTTTATTGAATTCCTTTAATTCGTGCAGGACAATATTTCTAAAATATTTATGATATTCAAACATAATCAAGAAATAAATCAGACATTATTGACAATTATGTTTGCATCATTGAATTAGAAGTAAATCTTTATATTTATCTCTTTCCAATTATGCGATAAAAATGTACAATGTTAAAACAATATATATATATGAATCTAAAAAATTAGAAAATGTAGCATCTAGATATCGACATTCATTTTCGGGAATACTGTCACAATTGGTTAATTATTTTCTAATATGGTTGATAGCCATCTGCAAATGGGTGCTGCTGTCATGTTTGCATAAATACTAGGATAATATCTTTGTCCGCAACCCCGTCCACCACTAACGACACCAGCTAAATGCCATCGATTTGAATATCTCGATAGGACTGAATCTGAACGACTGTGACATGATAATGGACCACCACTATCATCATAGCAAGCATCGGTATAGCCTTGCATATAACCAGCACATAGCATGTTAGAAGTAATTTGACCATTATAAGAATAAGTACTATTACAAAGTCTCCGATTCAAAATAGGTGCATAGGCATAACGTAAGATATATCTCCGCTGGCCAACTGCTTTACCCAACCAGATATTGTACATAAATTAAGTTCATTAAATGAATAATTAGCTGCTGTTAAACATGTTGGACGAACAAAACTATCAATAGCTACGGGTGCATTTAGTTTAATTAAAGCAATATCACCATCCAAATCTTTAAGACTTGAAATAGAATCTTTATGCTGATATGTAGGGTGTCGAAAGATCGGCTTAGCAGTCCTCTTTTGCTTAGTATAGGCCTCTAATGCTCTAAGATTATGTCGTCCAAATTCAATCGTAACTAGAATTGGGTTATTTGCCACACAGTGACTTGCTGTAATAACCCAATTCCCGTTAATTAGTGAGCCACCGCAGGTCATTGCATCCACTTTATCATTTGATATATAATACGCTTTCAAATATGCTTGCTATGGGACACTATGAGGAGAAGCAGTGTTCTCGCCGACAATCCGAGATATACGAGACTTAATTATACCACAACTTGGATGATAGCATAAGACCGAATGAATGGAATTTCTTTTGCATCTAATATATTATTAGTTATGATTAATTATCATAAATAAAGAAGACCTAAATCGATTATGGAAATCAGATATGCTGTAGAATATCTTTAAATTATGTTACAGCTTAACATAAATTGTAAATACAAACCACAACTACTCTCATTTATATTAATATCATCAATTACAGTATCACTCGTCCGATTCAAAATCGAATCCTTTTCACAAGCTTTTGCTGTGCACGCATTCGTGTAAGTCAAAAGCTTTAAAATTTTTTTCAGGGGATGCGAAATTGATAAAGGAAATTATTTTATTGTTTTCCTTTAGTACTTACAGGATAATATTCCTCAGATTTTTGCAGCAATTAATTATAATCCGAAAATAAAATCAGACATTATTAGTTATCACGCTTGTATTGATAATCAGATCAGAAGTAAATCTTTTTAACTACGTTTTTCAAGCAATAATATAGAAACATACAGCAATACAACGATATAGAAAGTAAATTAGATAATTTAACGTCTACATGTTGATATCTATTTTCGGAAATGCTGTTACAATTTATTAACTATTTTCTAATGTCTTTGATAGCCATCTGTAAATGGGTGCTGCAGTCACGCTTGCATAAACAGTAGGATAATATTTTGGTGCACAACCAACTCCACCACTAACGACACCAGCTAAATACCATCGATCCGAATATCCTGATAGGACTGCACCTGGACGATGACGACATGACAGCGGACTGCCACTATCACCATAGCAAGTACTGGTATAGCCTTGCATATAACCAGCACATAGCATGTTAAAAGTAAGTCGACCATTATAAGAATAAGTGCTATTACAAAAATTTCGGTTCACGATAGGTACATGAGCATACCGTAAGATATGTCTTGGTTGGCCAGCTGTCATACCCCAACCAGATACTTTACATGAGTTAAGCTCATTAAACGTATCATTAGCTGTCGGTAAACATATTGGACGCACAAAATTATTAATATTTACGGATGCGTTTAGTTTAATTAAAGCAATGTCACCATCCAGATCTTTCATACTTGAAATAGAGTTTTTATACTGATACATGGGATGCCGAAAGATCGACTTAGCAATCCTTATTTGCTTAGTATAGCTCTCTTTTGTCAGAAGATTATGCCGTCCTAAATCAATCTTAACTCGAATTGGCTTATTTGGTATACAATGACTTGCTGTAATAACCCAATTCTCATTAATTAGTGAACCACCACAACTCGTTGTATGCACCTTACCCCCTGATACATAGTACACTTTCAATAATGCTTGCCAAGGAACACTATGAGGAGAAGCAGTGTTACCACCGATAATCCGAGGTATACGAGATTTAGTTATACCACACCTAGGATAATTGCGTATCGATCGAATTGATTGAATTTGTTCTGCACCTAATGTATTATTACTTATAATTAATTATAATGGGTAAGCAGGAAATAATTCGATTTTAAAAATCAGACATGCAGTGAAACATCTTTAAACTCATACAGTTTTACACAAATTGTTATAGATACCAACCACAAGTGCCCTCATTTATATCGATATCGTCAATTGCAATATCACTCGACCAGGTATTGCCACGAATGGCCACGATATAGATCTACAATCAGAATGACAGTTATAATTATATATATGTTATTGTTATGTTATGTTATATATATATATATATATTAAAAATTGAGTACCTACAAAAGTTTACTAGATATACCAAAATATTATCATAAATTCTCATTAGAAAAAGTAAAACCCTTCCTCCGATAAAATAACTGTTGTATCTTCATTATAAACTTGTAATGATAGAATTAATAGAACTGACGTATCTATCACTTGGGTAATTCGTAAAATTTTTCCGCCATAGGAATGAAAATTTAATCGCTTATTAGCACCATGGAAATAATCATGTCAAATAGATAGTATTTCCTACGAGCTACTAAACACTCAGATTACCGCCAAATTTTATAAAGCAGCAATGAACGTAATTCAGTATGCAAAAAATTCCAAAAATGTTATATATGATATTTTGTTTAATTTGTATTGGAATAGAGGCGAGGTAAAAAGACGACTATACGCGCAGGATTGAAGCATATTAATGCAATATATACGGAAAGTAGTCCTCATGCATTATGTTGTTCATATATAGATATATTTCAAATATATTTGACACATTACTTGATAGTCTTGTGGAATACTCATTATTTTGATCTTTGCTTCTTTCCACTTTTGACCTTGACTACCTTTCTTTGCCCATAATACTTCTGTTGAGGTTTTGGTTACGATTTTGACTATCAAATTACCGACGCTCCTGCCACACATATGATACCAAAATGAAAAGCACATCGGTCGTTCATTATTCAGAACTCTGCTAACTAGTACAACTTTCTCTCCAATATGTCTATTGGAAGCTTCCATATATGCATAATTTCCTATATTTCGAATTTTTACAACTTTCGCTTATTAAACTTTCAATTCAATAAAGTCCTTCGTATTTTATATCGACATATTATTTTTGAAATAACCGATAATTGTAACATTTTTTCTCATGATACTATTTGGCTGTATGCTTACCATATGACGTTCGCATGGTATGATCATAATTAGGTCCAGTATATTTACTGCTGGTTGAGCCAGATTTTCGAGTCCAATCAAAACTGTCAAAACCAACATTTGTCCAGCCACAGTAACCCGATTCAAAGTCACACTTTAAATTTTTAAATTCTGTAATTTTTTAGAGCGTACACATTAGTAATATTGCCGATGATGCTATTTTGTTTGCTTTAAGCTACGGTAGTCTTAATGCATTGCAAGATATTTCCGAATCATTTCATCGACGAAGAGTTAAGATTAGCATGAAAATTACGTGGCAAATAATGATACCATATAAGCGTAAATGATTTCATAAAATTATGTATTGACTACACCAATCTTTATTGAACTTAAAGCGGTATTGTAATAGATTGCAATATTTGCCAAATTAAAACAAGAAATCTAGTACGAGGTAATTACAGTATGAATTAACTTTCATAACATTACGATGAATCATTCATGCTAGCAGCTGCAGAAGTGTATTTAAGTTTGGTAGATAGCTGAATAAGATCAAAATTCTCTAGTAGTTCAACGTAGAAGCAAAGGCGTCTAAATTCTTATGAGATAGTTAAGGGATACTGAGTTCCTTTAGTAAATTCGAAATATTTTTACGTTATCCTTGTCATGGAGCTGGCTTGTAACAGAGATATATCAAGAAATGAAATTAAACTTCTTATTTCATATCCAACAATACTAAAAGTACTGTAAATCATACACTTCACAATATTGTTAATTTTCCAGTTGACTGGTAACTAATGACTTGGATAACCTGTATTTTTGCACATTCCTTTTTCCCACGTCATGTCGTCGATAGCAATATTTGCCTCATAGCTATCGCCAGTGAACCCAGTAATTGATATCTACAGAATATCATAACGTTAATATGAAACACGGCGTATGTCAACAATAAAAGCTCAATGATCTTCAAACAATAACTAGTATGCTCAATAAGATGATATAACATTGCGCGATGATTATATTCTACAACTGTATGGAATGAAAATAATAGCGCAAAAGGAACTTTGAGTATATTTATCAATCAAAAATCTGATTATTAAAGGACAAGAGTGTTTTGCATATGCCACAATTTCATTACTTGTTGTTACTGAGCTAGTAGCTCCGTGTTTACGATTAATAATTGTTTACAATCGTGTATGACCATGCTGACTAGCACCTAGTAGTAGAAAATAGCTGTCATGTAATTGAAGTAAGTATTATTAGTGTGGAATTGCTATACGCAGTATTAAGGCACTTAGCAATCAATAATTGTTGGTTGCTTAATATTATTATTGCTACTGATTATTAATCGTGTATTATTATGGTCTAACAAATAGGACATAAATATTGTTCGCTGTTGTTGTGTGTGATAATTAGACTTGCTAACTGGAGTAACTAATATTATTGGCGACAAGTATAGTGACTGTAAATAAGAAAGGGTATTTAAGTTCTCCTGAGACTAGTGTAAAGAAGAAGGCCTTAGTGTAGCTAGAAGTTAATAAAGTTATTAACCTAGATCTATCGTTTGACTCAGTCTCTTTACTATTGGAATAAGTTAGTTTTCCTTATAGAGGATTGCCTGAAGTTAGTCGGTGATCGGATAGAGTAGATAGAATAGACTAGGCCCGATCACGAAAGCTGTTTTGTGACACTTGTACATTATCGATAACGAACTTAACTCACTTTATATTCTTGTGCTCTTGAAGATATGTCCACTTCAGCTAATAGCCAAATATTGCTATGATTGCCCTTTTTCGACCATAATATTTCTGATGTAGATGATACGACTTGTAGTCGACTAGCGTCTGCTCCATTCATGTTATACCAAAATCGCAGACAATGACTATCACTACTGCGAATTATTGGACTTTTCAAAGTAGCATTATCGTGTAACTGACTAGATGTCTCTAGATACGCGTAATAGCCATCTTTTAAATTGTCAGTACAGAAAATATTTTCTATTTAATGTTAGCAGTAAAAGTTAAAACAAGTACTTGATGTAAAAAAGTGCATTAGAGATATTAAAGTATGAGTATATCATTTCTCTTACAGTACGGATTTTGATAAGTATGATCGTAACTTGGACCAGTTTTAGGGGCGATGGTTTCACCTTTGTTTCTGATCCATGCAAATTTAGAATCTGAATAGCGGCCATTTTCCCATTGGCAGAAATTTCTCTCAAAATTGCAACTTAAATCGACTTCTGTTGATACCACTCGACCTAGATAGACCAGAACGGTGTTATAGCGTGAACGGAAAATTTTACATTTGTGAGTTATGCAAGTAAAGAATAGAGACTGATAAATTTCTTGTAATATATTATCTTTCTGACTTGCTTTACAAAAAATTATTATAGAATATATAGTGTATTCATTTTGTTGTGGCATGCGAAGATATTTCTAAAAGTTTATGTTGAGCAATAATTTAGCTAATCTTTGATCTTTAATGTCACTCTTACTGTCATATATAATTATCTATGACCCATTATTACTTAAATTTTAATTAATTAAAGTTAACTTACCGTCGATTAATGTCCAACCAAATACAAATATTAAAATTGTTAATTCCGTGTAAAAATGTGGAGAATGGCGAAGCATCTTGGTAAAAAGTTTTCTCTCTCTGTAGTTATGTGATAATTAATGTGATTAAGCTGAAACACTTATATTGTGATAACATATTTAAGATAAATTAAGCTCTGCTATTAGGTCTAAATATTAGGGAAAATAAGAAATAAATGTATCGTAGAGGGCAAAACGTAGGTCAACTA